ATAAATAAATAAATAAATAAATAAATAAATAAATAAATAAATAAATATTATATGCTAGTAGTTCCTGGTCACAAAACACAGACGACAAATTATTGCACATATGTGAAGTTAATTACACCAAATATGTTGTTCTCAAAACTGACAAAAATCATGATAGTAGTTTGAGGCTTTGAGATCAGCTGTCAATGACAAGCATCTATCCTTCTTGTGATGGAATTAGGTGACTGAGTGAGGATGAATGGAAATTACATTTTAAAACACCTCAGACTTTAATACTTTATGTATTAAATGCTGAGGTAGCACTTACCTTATCCAGCTCCTCTGCGTCAAGGAAATCTCTGGGGATGTAACTGGGCAGCATGCCCACGTTGTTAACTGAGGCATGAATTAAAGAAATATATCTGAACACACACATATATTATTGACTTGATTTCCAATGTTTGATGTCTTTGGAAACGAGAATTTCAGTTACAAACATTACACAATGAAAAAATGAATTACCTAAAACTCCAACATTTAGGTCCTTGAGCTGCTCTTCAATTCCGCTGAACACAGTTTCACCACAGAAGTCTGCAACTATCACTTTGACCCTTCGTCCTGTAGTTTCACCTGTAAATAATGGCAAAATAGCTGCATACAGATTCTATTTTTCTGAATAAGACAAACATTTGATTTATATATTTAGATTCTTAAAGCAAGACACAACTACATCATACCTATTTCCTTGGCTACCTGATCCAGTTTTACTTTGGTTCGACTCATAATAACTATGTCCATTCCTCGCTCAGCCAGCTATGTGGTAGGTAGGATGGAAGGGAATGCATAAATGATGAGCTGTGTTTGTAGTCCAGGCATCTCAATTTTCAGTTTCATACAAAAATCCTCATTTCACAAAACACAAAAAAAACAGAAGAAATGTAAATTTAACTTACCGCAAATGCGTAAGCTCTTCCAATGCCCTCTGAAGCACCAGTTACCACTGAAACAGACAGATGAACGCAATCAGTCTGTACCTTATTCTTCAGTTTTCATTTTAAACACAAGGGACTCTATACCCCACAGCTCACAAGTTGTGTCAGACATATCCCAGGATTGTGTTTGTATTTTGTTTACACTGGAACCCATTCTGTTCTCACACACTGTGCTGAGACAGCATGTTCCCCAGTTCTGATAAAGAAATTAGCTGAGAACAGACAGAAATAGCGAATTTCAGAATGCTCACGACTGTCCCATTACTTCCTGACCCTGATCAAAATGATTGGTCAAACTTCAATGAACACATTTCTTTTGCATGTTTTTTTGCTAAATTGATTCAATATTCATTTTGGGAATAAGTCGATGCAAGAAAAATGTCCATGTCTTCATTTCCTTCATTTCCTTGAGCAAGTTTCTGGGTGTAGGTCATTTTTCCTTGCCTGTTTAAGCTAATGGCCATTTTGCTTAAGCATGTGCTGGAAAATTCCTTGGGAAATTCCTAAAATGGAATTTCACTTTACCTTGCAAACCGTGACTGAATAATCATTTAAGCGTATTGCTTGGTTCTGCGTAAGATGTCAAGATGTTAAAAGTGCAATGATTCTTTCAAAAATTCAATATCTAAAGTTCAAAACATGATCTTGGTCACTGACTGCGAAAACATAGCACTTTTTTTTGTCTTCAGGAGTGAAGCAAAACAATATTTCCGTGAGTACTTTGGCAGGATGGAATGGGAACACATGCTGGTAAAGGAAAACTAAAGCATGCAACGTAAGCTCAGAGACTCAAGAGCTCAGGTCATCTGGAAGAAACTTGGGTTTGATAAAACATTCTCCTCTAATTGCAGTGTTTCACATTACATTCTGACTCACACATGACTGAATTGTGGGCTGTTAGACAGCTGCAGCAAAGCAGCATTATTAAAAAATAATCTAATCTGCTCCTTTGATTGTGTGATTTTATCCGTTATGCATCACAAAGCAATTTTTCCAAACTTGCAAGAATGGATAATGTTGTGGATGGCACAAAGCTTCATGAATGAAATCATGATTACATAATCATATGAAATAAGTTTGCATGTTTGTTACACTTAAATACACTTGTAAAAGTATTTAACCTTAATGAATAAATTTGGTAATCCTTGACTTGATCTTTCAATCTTTTTAGAAAAAAACTGCAAAATTATCAAGAACAGTTACAGAGATTAATGATACAAACACAAAAAATGCACGTATGTGTTAATTTATTAACAGTTAACACTTGATTCTAATGTTTTTACCCCTCAGTCACTTTTTTTTTTATTCTGTGATTACGTTAATGAGAATGATCAGAGATAAAAAAAATTTCCTAAAGAAAACATTTCAAAGGAGATACAATACATGGAATATATTTGGTCAAATATCGCTTGAGAGGCTCTTGTTTTATTGCAAAAAGAAAGTATGTGTAATAAATAACAACTTAACTGGATTTAATTCGAATTAATGAATGCATCAGGTGTTCTTTTTGTTGCATGGTAATAACAGGGTTGATGATACACAAAGATTACATTCCACGTCAACCAATGACAGGCCAATTATCTGTATCAACATGTCTAGGATGACAGGTTTTCAGGTTTCAGCTGTCACAACAACTCAGCAGCAGAGCTGGCCGGGACACAACTATTGGTAATCTCACCTTGGGATCTGCTTGTGTACCCTGGATGGATCTCGAATTATTCTTCTCTCTGGGAAATTCAAGTACCATTTCCTCAAACTTTTTTTATGTCACTGATCAATCACATTGCAGACTGTACTGTGATTAAGATTAAGAAATTACTCATACTTTCTCATTCTTGCTTTCTGTTTCACATCTGGAATAATTTTTTCCTAACTCCTCTGAATCCAAGGCTTAATTTGGGACACCATCTGCCCCAAACAGTTTAATCGGTTTCTCCCAAATGTAAATGACGCTACCCCTTGCTGTACAAATGAATAAATTATATCCCTCAGATACATCTGACAGGCTTCACTAACTCTTTTATTGATATTTTATGAACATTTGATTTAGTCAAGAAAATTTTGTTTTTCTTTTTTTTAATGGGCTCATGCTCAACATTTGTGTAGACTAAATTATGGGATGGTCAAAGCTGTTATTGCATCGCAGGTTTAATCAATTTTTAATAGACTTGTTTTTGTTAGTGCACGTACGTTGGGGGACATTTATGAAAATATGAAGACAAAATTATTTGTGCCTTGATGATCATACAAGCCCCAATTGCAAACACCCATGTTTGTCTGGGCCAACTTGTTGCCCAACAAATCTTCCCTCAGCTCTCAAATCCTTCACCCTAACCCCTCACAACGAGCTCACTGTGTTGTTTACATAAGCTGGTGTTCACAGCAAATTATTTTCTAAAAATAAAACAAAACAAATTAAAACTCATGAACAGAACACAGCAGGGGAGATAGCCCAGTTCTAGAGCCCAAATGCTGTGCACTGTAGTCCATCTTCTTTGTCATGAATACAAAAGGCTGCTGATAAAATCAAGGCAAACCTCCTCAAGATAAATGTAACTGACTAACAAATGCCTGTTTTAAACTATGCAGTTCCTTTTAGAATCTTTGTAGAAAATCTAAAATGACTGTTTTACCTTACTTCACATGGAGTATGCATGTTTTCATTACTGGATAGCAGCATAAGTTTCAGCGCTAACATTGATACAGAATTTATACAAGTGTCATTGGAACCACAATGAAAAACATTTCTTCTCTAATAATTTCTTTGTTGCAAAAATGTCAAGAGCAAATCTGATCACAAATCTGATCACTAAATGCGTATTGACTGAAGTCACAGAAGTCACAGCGAATCACCAGCACTTGTCAACTGTCCTAAAATGCTGCAGACCCAAGGGAACAGACACATTCTATAAAGATTTCTCAGCTGTATGTGTTATTAGCAACAGCACATTATTTAGAATTGGGGGAAACTTTAGGTTTGAAAGGAACACCCTCATGCAAACGTGTTTGCTGACTTAAGCAACAGGATGGAAACTGGGAAGCCCAGAACACTCTGTTCTGGTGTTCTTTCTCTGTGCTGGATTGGAATGAGAGTGGGTTTGGAAAGACAGACCGGCCCAGTATTCTGTGTTTTCATGGGGCTTCATTTAGAACTGTGAGAGAATGAATAACCACTTCAGGAGATGCCAAATGAAATCACTGATCTGGAGAAGTTGCTGTGGAACCAGCAGGGGAATTTTAATAGGAAAAAGTCTGAGTGGGGGACCAGAATGTGAGCTGAGTCATTGTTTTTATTCATGGGAGTAAAAACCGTGACTGTGCTCACATCTTTATAGAAAAATCACCGTATAAATGTGTTATAACCTGGTGGATTTAAAAGTGCATTGCATATCTTTCATACCCTGTAATTTAACCATACCCACATTGATAGCAACTCTTTGGCTCATAAACTGAGAGTTGATGCTTCACAAGAAATGTCATGCTACCTGCAGATTCGGGATACTTTTTTTTCTTGCATTTGTCAGCAGCTTTCCTGGAAACATGAAGCACTGGCTTTGGTTTTAACATGAAACAAGTTCAATCATGTTTAACAGTGGATGGTCTAAACAAGTCTGAGCTGGAAAAACTCTTCTAAAAGTTTCACTGCAAAATATTCCTGCTCCATCCATGACCTACAGTGCACTGCCGCATTTGTGTAGAGATTTGCATCTTCTACATATCACAGGACTTTAGAGTCACAGTTTAATTTACTGGAAATGCATCGTTGACACTTTCATCATGTCTGACACACATACAAATAATCTACTCACCTGCCCATTCTCCCATTGAGTTGAAAAAGGTGTTTGGTAGTGGAAAAAACTGTTTTGGGAAAAGTATCCTCATAAAAAGAAAGAGTTTCAGTCCATAGTAGACAACCATTGCTGCACCAAGAAAAATGAAAAACAGCTCCATCAAATCCATGTTGTTGCTTTTTTGTGTGTTTTTCTGTCACACCAACTCTGCTTAAAAGTCTCTGGGTTTATGTCTGCCCTAAGAATGTTATTAGTCCAGTGATTGAAACCTAAAAGAGAGAGAGAGAATCACTCAGCCGTAGGACACTCCCACTTCAGAAACATTACACTACTCACACACAGGCGCACAACCAGACGTACAGTCTAGCCCAACCCTGCTTACTCTTGTCATGCTACGTTGATTTTTAAAATCTGTTCATGGGTACCAGACATAGATAAAAATCTCTGACTTGCAGAAATGTTTGGTCCTTTATTCATAGCTATATAAAATTCACAGTAATAGTAGCTTGTCCTATTAGATAATCCTCTGCAAGCTTTGTATGTCTGGCTGTTAATTTCCCTTCCTCTTGATAGATCCTGTAAATATTTTTGGCAGAATGATTGTGACACAACCGTGAACGTCAAGTATTTCAGCAGACTTGTCTCGAACTTACTCTTTGGTTCACAAGTGGTCAGGAAGGTGACCTGTATCTCCTAGTAGCACTTAACAGACTTCTGGAGCAGGTCTTCCACAGTAAGTGATACCATTCTCCCAAGTGCTGAGATGGTCTGAGAGTCAGAGGACTTAGAGACTTTTTCCATGTCCATATACCGTAACAAAAAATCTTTTAAAAGGTTCCCTGCATTTAGGCCCAGCTCCAAAGAAATATGACAGCATGTAGCACTAATGTGAATAGCCAAAGCAAAGCTTCTAAATGCTAAAGTTTTTGTATTGTTTTGTTTAAAAATCAAGTTAAACTCGTTACTCAACATTATGAATAGTGGATTAATGGTGTTATGACAGGTTTAGCAATTTCATGCACGTTAAAGTGTAGTGCAGCGAAATATGTTTTTTAAAATGAAGAAAAATACGATCTGCGGTAAAATGATAGGCTTCACACATCCCTCTGTCACATTCAACATGTGACAGCAAATAGAATATGACTGGGATTGACTCCAGTGATTGTTGTGACTTGGAGCGCCATATTTCATGGTTTATCATGCGCCAACAATCCTCTGCCCAATCGCTGTGTTTCCTAAAGCACATAAACAACGTTTTTTTCACAAGAATTCATCGTAAACTTAAAGTAAGTTTAACTTTTTCTTTCTGGACTTATGTTGCTGATAATTGCAGAAGGTTATCAGTAACAATTTTAGATTAAATTACTGTTGCTTATTTCAAAATCTGTTATTGAAATTATAGCTGGCTCGAGCCTTTTGCTCTGGCCTCCCTTATTCACATGTTCTAGGTTTTGAGCATAAAAATAACAATGCTGTTAGAAACTGTTGAAATGAGATGCATCACAGGTCTCTGAGATAGGATGGGGTGCTTGACCATCTAGAAGGAGTTTGGAGTAAGGCCACTGCTCTTCCCCATCTAAAGGAGTAAGCTGAAGTGTTTCAGGAATCTGGCAACAGACTGTCTCTTGGTCACCCTGGAGGTTTTTCTGGTATGTCCAGCTGATGCAGAAGTGCTCTTAATATATGATGCCTGATGGTATAGATGGTGCTGGATTCAGTACATCTTTAACTCCCAAGGACACTCATTCCACAAGGGTCAGCTCATTTGACGAAAAGTTGTTCTGTTTATGAATTTATAAAGCGGGCCATATGATGTCATATTATTAAGCTTTAGCATAAACATCAGATGGCAAAGGCTGCTTCATGACTATGTGCAGCTGGTATACAGCTGAAGAGGATGGTTGTTGTCAGCCCTCTGACCTTCTTGCATGATCTCTTTAGGGATGTCTGTCATCGTTACTCTCCTCTTCCCAAGCAATTTCTCATCTGTGACTAGCTGGGATAAGACAGTTTTAGCTTGTGAGACAGGCTCCCACCTGCACCCTAACCCTTCATGCCTGAATGTCTAACATAGGACTGCACTATCAGGTACCTGCTCGAGGAATAAACAAACAAATGAGACTAACTTGTGGTACATGCTGGTGCAAGTATATTTCTCTTTAAATGCCAATCTCTATTAAAAACAAATGAAAAAAGTCGGTTAAGTTTAACCAAGCCTCCTGAGTTCCCCCATTTTGTCCATGTATGGTTATTTTCTGGCTCTGAAAAGACTGATGTAGAGAAGAAGCAGAAGCAGTTCAGTAACTACCAGTGGTCTTCATGTGTTATGGATGTTCAGATGCAGGACGAAGAGTGAGTTATAAGGCAAACACTCTCTCTAACATCCATTTAGAGTTTCTGTCACAATCAACTTTCTGCAACAATACTTATTTACCAACATGCATAATCTTGTTCTGGGCATGTCACTGGTCAAGTATTCATGTCATTAGACATATCAGAGATTATTTCAGAATTTCTAAAAGAAATTATGCTGTGCATGGGGATCAGGAGCCATATTATGTGAGGAACACCTTTGCTTTGTAAAGGAACATACATGGTAATTCTGTCACAATATTAAGATAAAATACATTATACAAATTTGTGTTCTTTCCTGTAAATACCACATAACAGATCCAAGTCGAGATACAAGTCTACGGGCCTGTATTTTCATGAAAATGCCAAGTCTCGCTGCATCTGTGGTGTGGTGTGCTTTTGGCTCCATTCATTCGACGGTTGCTCTCTGAGCCCTGTGACGTCATTTACACGCGCCCGCTGTTCAACCCGCGCCATTCCTGCAAGCGTGTGTTTCCATCTCCCATTACATTACCACTGACAGAGCTTCAGAAACCACTGTCAGAAGCACAGATTCAGTTTTCTGTTTCGTATTCTTTTAGGTGAGTACAGTTTTATATATCTCTCTTAGCATAATGCGTTTTATAGTCAGAAGAAATACGAATTGACATCACGAAAGTTGGCGGCCCTTGGTTTCGTATTGAATAAGTTTAGCTTGCTAGCTAATCCAAACTTAGCCGAACTGGCTGGGGATATAAACGACGTGAAGCTGTGTTTTGGGCATTTATTGTACCGTCTGAGTAGATGACATGCAAGGAGGTAAACTAAAGTGAGTTCGACTTGATGGTAGAGATTGCAGGGCTAATTTTTGTCTTAAGGTAAGACATGATTTGCTCTGCTGTTACACCTGTGATCTTGTTTTGATTTATTTTGTGTTTCAATAGCAAATTAACCTATGTCTTAATAATGTAATGCGACATACGTAGATAGCAGTCACTCCTGAAAGCGTCCTTTGAACCCATATAGCGGAATAATAACAACTGGAGCTGGAGTGTAAAGCTTCCAGTGTTAAGTTGTGCCGTTAGTGAGCCTGTATTGCTATTGGCAACCATGCTAATGCTACCAACAGTTGTTGTGGCGTTCAAATGTAGGAATACCTCTGTGTTTTTGGAAAACGATAATACGCATAGTCAAAGGTGCAACAATCATGTCAGACATGGGTCAATTTTACGGAGCAAACATGAAAAGAACAACATTTTGAATGCTGCTCATTTATCCATCAGCATGCCATCCGCTATTTGATAAAATCGTAGCCTCTGCAAAGTCAGTACCCGCCGACGTTTCTGCTCTTCCTCTTGAGTGAGGTGGTGAAAGTCAGTGAAACCTCAACAATCTTCCAGCAGAAAGGGATTTCAAACGTATGATTCTCATAAAGCTCTCCAACACATTTTTAAACCCAACAATTCTAAAGCAGAATGAACAAAGATTGACCGACAGTATAAAGGAGCTGTTGGCAGGTGCTTTGACGTCCTATTTGCATTCTGATTTGCACTGAGCATGCCCAGAAACTTTACATTTGAACAGAACATGGATTTTCTGCTCTTAGAAGGTGAGTTGTAAGAAGCCGTTTTACACCAAACAGAACCACTCTTTACAAAATGTCTTGATAAATGGTGGGAGTTGACTGCCCAGAAGCAGCTGTCTTTATATTTTCCTACTCTGAGTTAAAGAAAGAAGTTTCTTGGTCTTGTGTCAAACCGAGTTGGATTTCATTGTGTGGTACATGATTGAGAGACACTCTGGTGTTTAAGATTTATGTATTAGTGTAAGACAGCATGATTGATGTTAATTATTTTTTATAAAACCATGATATGATATGTGGTTAAACATCTAGCCCAAAGAGGACAATACAATTTTAGGACCATGGGCAAAGTTGCAGATATGGTCGAATGGGAGAGCTAATAATTCATTTAATAAAAGTTTGGGGTTATTTCATATCAAATGAATAATATTACAGATACACTATGCGCTTTTTCAGTAAAGAACCTATTGTAATAGAGCAGAAAACTACATCTTAACCTAAAATTTTAAGTCTTTCATGATTAGGCAAAAGAATGCATATATGTTTATGCATTTATGTGTTTAGGCAACTTATATGCATATGTTGATGCATTCAAGTTAAGCGGTAACACAACAGTGCTGAAATTGCTAAGCCAAAGGCACATATGATGTTTAACTAAAAAATAGTAAGTCCTTTCCAGTTTGGAGTGGACAGTTCACTTCGTAGTATTGCTTGACTGTTACCACCATTACCATCGAAACAAAATCGAATCCTTTGGTGTGTGCTGTTGCCTCATGTTTGGTTTTTAATCTTGCTGCTTTCCTTATGATCTAGATTGAACTTTTCATGTACTAATGAAGTGAGCTAGCCTGTTCTATTTATGACTGTCGTGCTACTGTATAGGTATCGGTCACATTATGCATTGATCAACCATAACATTAAAACCACCATAATGCAGTATTTTTTTTTCTAATGATGCAGCCAGTATTTGTGCTGTCAAGCTTCAGGGGTCCTTGTCTCTTTAGGGTTTTACGGTGGAACATTTATAGAACAAATGCAGTCATAACCTTAATTAAAAATTTTTTCCAAGACATTGATAAATATAATTTCATCATTATTTCTGGTTACCCATCGACAGTTCAAGGTTTAACTCAACTTTTTGGAATTTGGTTAAAGCAGAAACTGATTTTGTGTTGAGACCAATTCAGTGATTTACAATTGTTCACCATCTGCAGCATTAAAATGGTGTGACTGAGTAAAATCAATGCTGCATTATTGAGGGCTGTGCTCCTCTAATCAGAGCCTGTGTTTATGTTTCTCAGATTATCATCATATATAGAGGTTTTTGCTTATTTATTGCAAATCATTCAGTCAGTAACTGTTTAAATGATATAACTGGTCAAATCTTTTAAGATGTGTACGCAATTTAATGCTCTAATATCTCTAACCCCCCCAAAAACTACTGAATAAGTAATTTTCATACGTTATAATGTTATGGTTTATTAAAGTCTATGATGGAATATAATGGCTTTCCACATAATCAACAGAAAACTCAAATTTGTTTTCACAGTTATTTAGACGGCCATAATTTACCGAAAAGAATCCTCTGTAAAATGCATTTGAACAGATTGAAGTATCGCTAGTATTCAAATAATGTGTCTAGGTTATATTACAGCACCCAGCAGCTGTGACCACATCTGCAGAATTTGGGGCATCGGAATGCTTGTTCCTGGTCTGTAGGTGGCAGCCTTGGTCAATGTTTCCCTGACTGTCAACTGAAAGCATCAGTGTTTGCCACCATACATTTCTGAGGGATTAGTGTGTGTGTGTATGTATGTATTTCAAATGTACTTTTTCTTCTTGACATGACACAGAGATACAGATAATTATTTAGCTTTTGTAAAAAAAAACTGTTTTAAAGTAAGTTATATTCATTTGATATTTTTTTCCTTCTTTAGCTCTGCAGACATGACCTTCTAAAGAATCATAATCTCAGTGTTTCTCTGTATATTTTCTGCCCGAGAATGACTTTTGGGTGAAGCACAGTGGTGAATACGTTAAGGATGTCAGACTGACAAACACCTCTATAGATAAATAAATATGAAGCTGGAATGTCGCTGGATAATACAGTCGAGTGATCTGCCAACATAGAAGCCATGTACAGGAGAGGCCAAAGCTGGCTCCTTATTTATTTATTAATTTTTTTAAAGACTCAGGTCCTTTAGGGTCAGTAGTGACATGCAATGCATACTGTTTTGGAGATCCCCTCTACTGCATCAGGGGTTAGGGTTAGGGTTAGGACAGAGGGGCTGCTGCTGTCAGAGGCTGCAAGACTGAGGGCTTCAGGAGGTTCTTTCTGCCAACAGCAACAAAGCTTTTCAACAGTTCTTCTCTGATCATTTTTTCTAAAATTAAAACATTGTAAACATTTCAGTTTAAGCTACTTGAGAATTTTCATTTCCCCCTCTGAGGATGAATAGAATATTTTGTTATTCCGTTTCTATTCATTAGACATGTCAAATTAGGCTGTAGGAAGTATATCTGCATTATATGTTTGCCAGTGTTTGTTTTATTATTTTTTTCATTTTTATTCAAAGGATCAGTTTCTGTCTGAGTTTGCGGCTCTTGATCTATAATGGAATGGTTGGAATAATACATTGAGATAAAAATGAAGGGAAATATTTATTTATCTGTTCTTTTTTGTATGTGTAAATTACTCCCAGAGCGTTCTTTTGATGTTTTATTATGTTTATTGTCTTTTTTATATGCTGAAATATTCAGTTTTATGATATGTATATGTAATTCCCGAAATGAAGCAAACTTTTCAAAGAGCAATGAAAGTCTACTGTTGTTTTACCCTCCCTCTCTGTATTCCTTTGTAGATATATCCAGCCATGGATATGGACGGTGCCAGTTCAGTGGTGCTGCAGGCCTTAACCCAAGCTACGAGTCAGGACACGGCCGTGCTGAAGCCAGCAGAGGAGCAGCTCCGACAGTGGGAGACCCAGCCAGGCTTCTATTCAGTCCTTCTGGTGAGGGATTCTATCCGTCAAGAAGTCTTAACACCAACTACAAAAACAAAAAACCAAAGCGGAGATGTGTATGTGGCAGAAAGCAGAGTGCCGGCATTTAGAGCTGTAAGGTGCAGTAATTCTAAAGCATACCGAGGGCTAGCTAATGTTTGTGCGTGTCAGTTCAACCTGGGAATTTCACACAGTAACACTAATCAAAGCCACCAATCACAAGATGGTTAAATGCAGCGAGGGGAGCGTTGGGCAGACAGCTGGGGGCCACAAAGCCGAGCAGTAATGTTCCCTTAACTGTGACAGCAGCCGTATGCCGGGCACCCGGCTGCTGCTGCGCCTTACAGGGAGGGAAAAAAATCCCAGGCCTGCGGGTTAGTTGAAAATTTACAAAGATAAGAGGAATTTAAGGGGATTCTGCTGATATTTTTAAACGCCTTAAGAGATTTGAGATGTGAATTTAATTAGAAGGAATCAATTAGCTCTCATATAAGAAATGACCAGATATGTAAAACATGTCTGATGAATATTGTCATAGTTAATGTAGTGTTTACTTAATAAAAAAAAGTATGTGAATGAAGGAGAATAACTAGGTTGCGTAAATTAAGCTGTCATATTTCTTTTTGCTCTGGAAGCATCTGAACAATACTCAGTGTAATTTGTAATATAGCAATTAACTGTCCATGTCAACAAGAATTATATTTACAAGTCTTTTTTTTATAGTTACTATCCTTATATGCAAGGTTCTTCACTTAGATTTAGAAGGAATTTATCATTTTTTGGTATTTATCAGTATGTGGTTTAAAAGTTAGTATTCAGTGAGAGATATGTCTTTCCCTCACATTTTTTTGAAAATCTTTCACAGAGAAATGTCTCCATCACCAACATTCCAAAGGCAATATGTTCATTTGTAATAGATTTCTGGAGGGTCCTCCAGATTCAGGTTTTTTGTCTTTCATTTTTTTGATTTTTTGTAAATCATAGGTAGTGGAAACAGAGAGGTTTTGAGTTTAAGTGTATTATAAATGACATATTTTAGCCCAGAGTGATGTGAAACCTACTGTCTGTGTAGATTCTTCCCAAAATGTCTGGATAATATCTGTTTGAAAACAGGGATGTCACTTAGACTATTGTTGACTATTGTTGTGCAGATGCACTTTCCTTTAAAATATCACAGCATGTGAGAGTGATTTTCACCTGCATAAAAGCTCTGACTGTAAGTTTGTGGGATGAGAAAACAACCTGTCTGGTTTCTGGGCATTTAGAGCTGCATTTGTTTTCCCAGCTTTGACCTCAGGAACCGTAAAGTGTAAATAAAAGATGAATATAGCCTGAAGGTCTGAATACTCTGAATCTCTATTATTTACGATGGTCAGGAGGACAAAAGGAATTTGTCACAAGGGCCATCTGTAATGGATTCCAGGAGAAACTGTCCGCACTTCTCAGTTGATGAACATACACAGTAAACATTTCTCCCATGAGTTTATCATCTCAATTTCTATCCCCTTGCTTTTCTTTTTATTCTGTTAATCTTGTGACATTCATAAAAAGTTTAACAGCTTATAGCTCAGGGCAGTGTTCTCTTATTATTGAGATGTTTCAGGGCTCACTTCATGGACATTCATAGTGCTGACAGATCTCAGTCAGAGCTGCCACTAACTAGTCTGTGTTTAGGGCAAAAAAGGTAGTACTTTCTCATTTTTTTAAAAAGAGTACCTACTTGGCAGCAGGTGGGGTAATTGTTACAAAAGTCATGTGTACACAAACATCTGCAAATCCATCAGCTGTGTGCTAAAAAAAAAGTTAATGGACAACTTAGTGTCAAGTTGTAGATTAGTTTTGACTTCCACTGTTGATTATGATTTCATTTATGTGATTTCTTTCCAAAGGACTGGCTGCTTGATCAGAAGGAGTGAGTTATGCTAATGGGGACACTTTAGTACAGCCCCTCAGGCCTTAGAGGTCATCAGTTTTTCCTTCACCTTGTTTTCCATGATCTTTCTATTTGACTGCGGCTCTACATTGTTACGGTTTGTGCGTCAGAACCGGAGTTCGCAGACTTGAACTCACGGAAAGCGTTGACGTTTCCCGGGAAATAACAAATGGACTGTACTCTTCTAGTGGACAGACCACACACTGAGGCCATCTTCACTCTACTCTGTCGATTTATAGGCCACACAGTGCTCTCTTCTCTATCATGCGGCATGCACCATGATGATGGTCGCGTTTCTAGGCAACGGGGGGTTCAGTATCTCACTGGGAAGCCGGAGTCAAACCTCTAACCTTTAAGATTGCTGACGTTTGCTCCTCCAGCTGAACCACAGCCACCTTACTGGCAGTTTAACAAGGGGGAAACTGCAATTGCCTTGGCAATTTTAGATTTTTTTGGGACACTTGATTTTTGTAAACGGCATCTGCTTTAAGGTTAAGTCTGTGTGGACCAGGAGGAAGGTTTGTCAGTAAGTGCCAGGAGGTGCCAGTATAAACAACAGCTATAGTCATTCAGTTTCACTTTATCCCCTTTAAAATGGTTTTGTGTTTTTTAAGTTAAAATTAGCAATTGTCAGATTTGTCTGTCCCAATATTGTTGTTTTGTGTGCAAAAAAAGGAAGCGGTCAATGTGTCTGTTAAACGGATGGCATTATGAATAGCAAACAAGTAAGAATTCTAATGTAATTGTTACATGTGTCAGTAAATAGAAGGAAGCTAGTTTTCCAAATGGCATTAAAACGATTAAGTTTTGATATGTGTGTGTTTTTTTCAGACAACACTAAAGAGCTGTTCTTGTGGATATGGAGGATGCTCTGTGCTTCATGTGCTATTGTAACATCAGTGTATTTTTATTCACGATCACCTGATGTACACAGCATGTTGTGTCTCATTCATTTGAAGAGTTTTAGCTGACCAGACATCCAAACCAACAAAGTTAGTTTCAATATGAAACGAGAGGCTCGGCCTGTTTTTTTTCCCCTTGATTTTTCTTTTTCTACTTGCCTGTTGCAGGTAAATTGTCCTACTGCACAGCTCGGGGGTTCACAGCAATCCCTGATGTAACAGATGGATGTTTTATATCCAAATAAAAGCTAAGATGTCGCTTACACGCACTCCGCTTAAACCTGAAAATATGAGAGACGAGATTCCAATCTGATATTACCGTCCCGCTTTATGGAGCCTCTGCCTTTGCAGCGCAAAGGTCAGTAACAAATCAGCTGGGTGCCATATTTTCTGGGGTTACGATTACATCGGGCTGCTTCGACATGTTAACAGTCAAAGGTAGTAAAACTACATTAGGATGTGCGGCTTGGCCACTCGGGGTTCCAAAGTCTAGGGGCCTGTATTTTCTTCAACGTTGTCTCACCGTACTTGAGTTTGAGTTGAGCTGGTACTCTTCTTCTTGAGGCTGCTACTTGTCATAAAGTCTCAGAATAGTCTGGTATTTCATGTAATGTATTGTAATAGTGTGGGCATAATATGTTTTTTTTTTTTCTTTCTCTCTTTTTTGTTTCCAGAATATATTTAATAACCACATGCTGGACGTGAACGTCCGGTGGCTGGCTGTGCTGTACTTCAAAAACGGCATTGACAGATACTGGAGGAGAGTGGCACCTCAGTAAGTACCTGCATGTCTCTTGTTACCGGCCGCCATCATCTTCATGTTCTCACTTTTCTACCTGAAGGCTATTTATTGTTTTTGTGCTGCGCTCTCATTCCGTATCCAGCGATGCGCCGTTCCTCTTGATCAGATTTAATCTCTCTGCTTATTGTTTGGGTTTTCAGTCGCACAGATTGATTGTGTTTCTCCGGTTTGTCCTTTTTTTCCCCCCAGACTGTACTCATTGTCTTTGTCTTTTCAGCGGCGAAAGCTTACATTTGCGGTTTGTCTCTGCCTGACTTTGCACGGCTCGTAATGTTTTGGATTTTCTACGCGTCATCGCGATTATTCCTATCGTGCTTTGATTTTCTGCTCGGTTTATTCTTTTGCGCCCGTTTGCTCTGATATTATATCAGCTTTAAGCCTTTACAGCTTGCTATCTGTCTTTAGATACCCAATCGGTTTCCTTTGTCAGGTATAAATTGAAAGTTTGCTCCCTAAATTCACAGGATTGTGGCTGGCTAATGGTAATCATTTCTGCCTCAGCACCCCAGGGTCGCTCTTTGACTGCTCCCAGTTTTCCTTTGAAAGTTTTTCTGCTTATCAAAGTTCATTTCGAGAGCATTACGCTCTCGATTCTTTGTAATCAGTATACCAAAATGTCAGGATGTTTAGTTATTCCACTTGCTGTTTTTGTTTAGATTTGTATTCTCATTCAGTTTTTAATGTAGTAAAGGAGTACATTTCTATTTTAGTTGGGCCTTAACTGTTGTGTAAATGACTTCTTTGGTGCAGTAATATACCCACAAACCAGCACTGATGCAGACTTCTCAGCTGTGCTGATAAAAGGCCAGATGATCCCCTGCTTCTTTGGCATAAAAAGGTGTCTTGGGGTTCCAAAATTGATTTCATAGTTAATCTTTTGACCACAGGAACGTTCCAGTCAGTTTGTTTTAAAAGGTCAAGCTATAAAAATGTTCTTGAAAACACCCTGTTTCTTTCTTAAGTTTTAGTAAAAATTTCAAAGAATTTTAGTTGACAACTACTTCCAGTAAATTACTATGCAAAGATGATTTCTCTTAATTTAAAAAGAGAAGAATATTGCATAGAGAATTATGAGGTCAAATTTGGGATGACGTGAGGTTTTCACATCAATCCTTTAACGAGCAAATATCAGAAAAAGCTGTTCGTGTTTTACCTGCAATTAAAGGAGAATTTGTTCCAAGGGGAAAAGGTATTCGATAAGTGGTGTCACTGACAGACATTTCATGCTGTTGAAGCTGAAACAAGACTAACTTATAATGGAATTTATTTGTGGCAGAGAAATGTATTGTATATTTTCACAGTATTTAGTCTTAAGGATGTTATATTGATAAGATGATAGCAACAGGTGCTCTGTTCAGCCACAGTGTGGTTAGAATCCAACTTACACCTGATCAGAGTCACAACCCTTATTGTGTGATAAGTTGTTTCTATTCTGATGTTAAGGGTTCTCCGCCAAGAGGGGGAGCATCTCCATCCGTCGGGCACAAGGGAGCGTGAGGCAGTTAAATGAGTCGTACCTGGGCAGACGGATCTGAAACTAGCTCCACATCTTTGGAGGGGATTGGCTTGTTAGCCCATGCTCTCTATGGTTTTAGCTTTTCCTTGCGTGGGGTTTCATCCATATACTTTAGTCTTCAAACTAGCTAAACAAATACCAGGCAACATTGAATGGTGATCTGTTAGATTGTTAGACCAGCAAAACATTAACAGGCCAAAATAAACCACTAAAAGTGGAATTTTAGAGTATGAAGCCTATAGTATTGGGAACACTTTACATTTTTTCCCCGCAAAATAGTGTGTTAGAGTTAAAAATATGTCCCAGGATTTCATGTTGGAGGAGTCAAACCTACGTAGAGCATTAAAAAAGATGTGGTACTGCATTTTTTCTGCTCCTGGATACATCTGTCTTTGCATTCCTTGTCTTTTATTAATATTCCGTGGTTTTCTCTTTTTTTTGGTCCATTTATGCACCAACACAAGACCCGCACAACTCGGGCATATGCTTTTCTGTGCCTCGCTGAAGCCCGAGCCGCACCATATTTCCAAAATGATGTGTTGCAGATGTTTCCCTCATTTACACGTGCTTTAAGCACTTTGGCAAAGGTTATGATTCATGCGGAGCTCTTCATGTAAATCAACTGAAATAGATCTTATAAACAAATACACCCTGTGAGTTTGCAGATATCAGGGATTAATCCGCAGTTTCATTAACCTGTTGGTTTCACATAGTTGTGCGATATATTTATGGATTTATTCAGTCCCATTACAAATTGCAAAGTGATGTCTTTATCATATTTTTAGCATTAGCATGTGGGTTGCATGTCAAGAATTGCAAATGAGATTGCCAGCATCTCCTGGGACACGTGCAGCATTCAGCCATGCCAGTGAATCCGGCTAAGTGTTTTCATCACGCAGGCATGCTGAGCCCAGCGTGAAGCCACTTAGTCCTGGATAAAAACTCTTGCTTTGTTTCCTCAACCATCTGTGGATGTATTTGAGTCATACTTTTATGGGTGTGCGGCGTGTTTGCAAAATCTCGATAAATTCTGTCATCACACTCCGTGAAGTTTTCCTCAAAAATCAAATGCAATCATCTTCAAAGAGATGCTTGAAAAAATTTGCAGCGTACTGTTTACTCTTTTTTTCCCTCCTACTTTCCTGGCCTCCTTACTTCCTATAAATATATCTTTTATTGCTTTGTTCACAGTGCGTTATCAGAGGAGGAGAAGACGTCGCTGCGTGCTGGTCTCATCACAAACTTCAATGAGCCCATCAGTCAGGTCAGTGAGGGAACAAAAACACAACTACAAGTGATTCCGATCAGGCATACTAACAAATTGACACAAAGCGTAAAGCGATTAACTTCTAACTTATACCACATATTGTTGGAATGTTATCCCCCAAAAAAGACAATTTACAAAAATGATCAAAGGCTTTAAGTGGATGTGCTGCAATATAGTTCTGTGTTTGAGAAGTCAATCTTTTTTTTTTCTTTCTTTTTTTGAGGAATCAAGCAGTGTGTAATACGTGTGTGGAGACTGTGACAATTGTAAATTATGGCTATCCATCCTGGTTGCTACAGGTTTTATATCCCTGAGGATCAGCTCTGTAATGTCAGGACTGATGGTGTCCAAATGGCAAGCAATGAATAGGATTTAAGCACCATATGTCTCACCAGTTACAACCTTCTTGTCGGGTTGAAACTCCTCAAGGGATCACGCATCCTGTTCAGTTTGTGTACACGTACTAAATTGCCTTGTAAACAATTTACATTTACAAGCTCCATTCTTAAAGCAAATTTATTAAGTCTTAGAAAAACTAATATACCTATTGGTGCTTAAAGATGAACCTCCACAGCTCTCACTTTAATAGTGAGATTAAGTTGGAGAACAGGGCTCGAAAGGCAAAGTTGAGTGTTAAGATTATAGTGCTGTTTCAGAAAACAAAAACAGTGTTGACGAATTTTGGCTCGCTGCAGGTAAGATTTCTTTAAGATTTTGAGCTAACTCTCAGCTAACATCATGTGCAACAGGGGAACAACAAATGAAAATGTCTTCTTGCAATTGTTGTTCATAAAACATAGCCAGCCATACAAGAGCTTCAAATGGTATCTCCAGCATTTCTTTGGGCTGCATTTTGAAATGAGGTGATGACTACCACAGGATGTGTTATGCTCTTAAAGTTTTGTCCTGTTCTTATTAAATCGCTTCAGTGGTGTGTAACACTGCCGGAAATAGAGTGATTGAAACTGCCCGGCAGACACATTCCCGCTATAATGAGACAGACTTGCCAATGTATGGCTGTCAATAAAGCAAAATCCTCCCTAAACTAAGATGGAGTTTGTGAAGCAGGGAGCCACAGCTAATATAGTTTCTGGTTTTGTTCTCGGTGGTTTCTCATGTTTGCTTCAACTGACATTTTTGCGTGTTAACATATGACAATAGCATGTCAAATTTAATGGCTACATTCAGTAACCCTGGGCTCTGTCAGCACCAGATGATAGTGCACAAGGTGAAGTATCCCTGGAGTCATACAATTTTCTTACTGTTGACTGTGTCATAACCATCTTCTTCATTGTTAATGCTTTGCTCTCTGTTATTTTCCTTCCTGTGCTTTCCCCAACAGATAGCAACCCAGATCGCAGTCCTCATAGCCAAGGTGGCTCGTCTGGACTGCCCCAGGCAGTGGCCAGAGCTCATTCCCATTCTGCTGGAGTCTGTGAAGGGCCAGGATGGCTTGCAGCAGCACAGAGCTCTGCTGACGTTCTACCATGTCACCAAAACCCTGGCGTCCAAACGTCTGGCGCAGGACAGACGTCTTTTCCAGGATGTAAGTGGCCGCTCCCACGTTGGGTCGCAAATGATTTTATGTTTTAAAAACGACTGGGAAAGCAGAGTTTATTTTTCACTGTTCTGATAAGAGATAAGCAGCTCTGTACCACTGGCATTCTGTGTTTTCATGCACGACTGTCTTAATCAGTATTAAATCTCTGTGTGAATGTTATAGAGGTTCCTGCTTTTAGAAATGTGTCCAGGAAGGAATGTTTCATGAAAAGAGGAGGTAAATACGAAACTGCTTTTTCTTTCTAAGAAGATAAGGCTTTTGTAAAAAGATAGTTTTGAAGAAAATGTTTACGAGGAATGATGATGGAACAGACAGAAGGAGAGAAGATGGGGACACTCAAAGGGAGAAAGAGAGTAAATCGGAGACATCATTTGAAGCAGTGACTTACACAAAAAATTTGGATTTCAGACAGAGGCATCTTGCCAAGATTTGAGCCTTTCGGCACAACTTGAAACAAAATTAGGTCTAAGCCCCACTAAGCTGTGATCTTTTTTACTATAAATGATGTGCTGATGACTTTGACATTGAATACCGTGTGCAGTGTTCTTCTCTCTGTGTAACAGCATGTCAGACTCTGTCCTCCCAGTCACACTCCAGATTTTTCTATCCTCTATTTAACCGTGAAAGTTCAGCGTATATTCTCAACGTTGGTTATTTGTAAACGTAAAGAGGTGTATGAATGCAGTCTGACTTGTAGTTTCTGTTCAATTAATGTGACGGCTTGTCTTTAAAAAAAAAAAAAAAAAACTGAACAAAAACAACTGGTTAGCATGCTGGAACTACTACAGCACAATATTCTGCAGTAGCTACTACTGCAGAATGTTTTCCTTGTTGCACACATATGTAAAAAAAAAAAAAGAATTCTTGCAGGCAATACAAGCTGAAAATTGACAAAACTGGTATCTAAATAAAATAATTTTTATCAGCAAGTGTCTGCAGTGTAGAAACCGGTGGAAAGATCTTGTTGACTACATGACAGTATGGAGGTTAGATAGCTGGGAGCCATACTTGTTTATCAGGCACACAGTTAATTAGGAGAAAAGAGGGAAAGAAAAGGGGATGGAGAGGCAGGGCGTGAAAGAGAAATCACTGCTACGACACGAGTAGAAAGGATGAAAAAGGAGGAATCACATCAGAAGTTATAAAGTAATGAAGGGGTAGTCTGAATATAAAGTGGAGGCAGAATTCAGTTGGGAGAGAGAAACTGGGACATTTCTGTTGGAAAGAGATATTCTATTTTGTTTCTTGAGAGGCAATGCTGTCCTTTAAACCGGCCTTTTCTAACAGCAGAATTGTGTCCAATCCCTCATCAGATTCTATCTTTTTCTACATGAGATATTATCATAGCAGTTCTTCCCCCCGGGTATTTTCCCTTTATTCACGAGGGCCCCTGCTTCAACCTAAACGATGTGATCCTTGGCTAGCCTGACCCCATCCTTCTTTTTAGTTCTGCGCAGGGAGTTTTCATGTCTTGTCATCTGTGCATTTATCCTCTGCTGTGGCCAGTTTTGAGGCTGTTTCAGCCTGTTTCTGTCACAATGCTTCGCTTTTATTCAAGCCTTGAAAAACACACCAGCCCTTTTTTTTAAAATTATATGTTCCTTTGATCATTTCTACCTTAATTCGTAATCATCATCCTGCTTTTTGACACTATTTGGCCACACTAATCAAGTCAAAACTGACATCTCATGTTGTCATGGATACAGCCAGTCAGGAAGTTTATATCTTTTTCACCAGATTCACAGATTGGTGGGAAATGGTAGGTGGTTAATCTTGAATCTGTAAAAAAATCTTTTCTTTCTGGAAATTTGTGGCAGAGAGGATGAGCTCTATGGAGAACACTGTCAGACGATGCCTTCCTCTTCCGCCTTCTCATGAGTGATCCTCTAAGATCCATGTGTTTGGGGCACTCAGTTTTAGCTGTAGCCTGTTGAAAACCACTGCTTTCACCTGTTGTTTCCCAATTGGTTGAGGTTTTTTCTTCTTTTAAGTTAGTTCACCAAGTCCTGACTTCTATAGTGAAAATTATCCAGTACAGCCTTAGTTTTGATTGATGTATATGGATTTTTTATTAATTTTTTCTGAGTGATGTTGCATTTTCTAAAGCAACTGCACAGAGCGACAAATTGGAAATGCCTTAAGGGTGATCTTGATTTTAACATATGGTAAATGGGGTCGTTTTTGTAGTTATCGCGGATTTGTTTCATTGTCTAACAGCAACAGGAAAAAAAACATGCTAATGAGACGGGCTTTATTGGGACCGCAGCTGCTTTAAAGAGCACTTCGTGACCGCCGCATTAGACTGAAGTAACCAGGTGTAAAGGGCTGACAGCAGCTGACACTGGGCAAAATGCAAATGGTAGGCAATGGCATAATGGATATGCTAATCAACACACGTCCCTCCAGAAAGCTTTACTTTCCATTTAAAGTTCACAGCACTTGTGGCACAAGAAATTTCGAAACTGAATAAAATCCTGTCTTTACATTTTGTTTTTAACTCAGAGATTTAAAAAAAGAAGTGGATGTGACTCCTGCAGCAAAACACTTGGTCCACTTTACAAGAAATTCCAAATGCACTGAACACTCATTCAGGCTGAACATTTAGGGACACGTAACTTTATATCTGGAGAAAGCTGCGTTCATAATGAGATTCCTCCCTGCTCACCACTGTTGCAGACAGTGCTCGCCTGAGTTATCGCAGCCTGTCGGCACCAAACGGGGAGCATATTGCTCTGTGTCCTTCCCATCAAGTGAGTGTATCTTCCCCCAAATCTGCATTTTTGAGATGTTACTTTTCCGCTTTTCTCTTCAGTACGGAGCAGAATTTACTCATGAACTACCCACTGAGAACCAATATTCTACAGAATGCATATTCTATAAACAGACCGATGAATAAAATAAGCCTCGGTGTTTTTGAGTGGCTTTGTTGTGAACTGAATAGTAAACCCGCGTGGAAAAGAAGGAAATTGTTTGCTTTCATTGATTTGTATCCTCATTTTGTGTCCCTCTTTCCCACATTCACAAAAACACACACGTTATGCCATTTTTCTTTTATTTTTTTAACTGCAGAATTTTTCGAGCGTACACATTCATCCAGGGATGAAAAATACTTGATCCTTGGATGCTTTATAATTTTCTCATGAACGATTCTGCAATTTTTCACCAAACTCAGTATTTGAATTTGAGATAGTTCCTCAATCTGTTGTTTTCAGCCTTGGAAAAAAAATCTGCCTCTTTTAGTCATTTATCACCGGAGAGGGTAGAAGCTGACAGTCCGTAATGTTTCATATTAGCTGACCGTTACAAATCACTTTGTCTGCGCTGTGATTTATGGCTGGAGTTCCTCTTGCACCCTCATGTTGATCAGTGAAGGTAACCATCGATGGGGGCATGATATAGAATGTTGGATTTTACATTTTAATCTTGGCAAATCTTATTCTTCAGCCATACTGTTCAAATGCCTTTTAAAGAGCACAGAAATGCATATTTTGGGATAACTTGTTTTCACCATGTGCTCCAAACCGTGAATACACTCTATGCTCTATACACGTGCTCTAGTGTTTAAGGGATGTGTTGTTCAGTTTAATTAATTATAGTTTAATTATTGTTTAAATCAGTCGCATCCATCTTGATCCCGTTCACATGTCGAAGTACAAAAAAAACAAAAAAAAACCTTCATTGCTACTTCCTGATCTCAGAGGCCCTGCGACTGTACACACTTTTAGAAAATCAAGGAAAGCTGCTGTCTTAAATGTCTTGAATCAAATATCTACCTCTTGGCTCAAAATGCATATTAGCTCATATGTTCTGGATTTTATTGGCATTTCTTTTGTATATGCTTTGTATATGCTGTGACCAAACATGCACATATGTAACTGAACTGTTTTTGTAACTCAAGGTAAATGGGAGCACCAGTTTTTAGTGATGGGTTCCATTGAAAAGAGGTTTAACCCATACGTATGTAGTACTTTTTTTTTTAGAAAAAACATGTAGTACTTTTAGGAAAAACACCACTTGCTATTTTACAAACTTTTGAGTTTTGTTTCATTGAGGCTGATTAGATAATGTACAAAAACATACAATCCCTGAGGGGTGTCCACTTTAGCTATCGTTCTACTTATTCTGTATCTGAAAAAATGCTTGAAAATACTGGAACAAAGTTAATATTAGTGGATAGTTGAGACTGTTTTTAAAAGAAAAAAGGATTGTTTTAGCTGAGACATATTTACAGACGTGACACTTAGATTGATGAAGTCAGGAGAAGATTCTGAAATTGTTTCCTAAACTTTGCTCCCCACTTCCATATTCTATAAAATGGATTACTCTGTGATCTGAGGAATGAAAAGTGGCACGCTCAAGAGAAATCTCTTTAAAGAGGAAACCTGCCAGTCTTGCAATTCCTCCGAAGAATATATCAAAGCCTGTGCTGTGCTGTCACAGGAGGGATTTGTCATTTAGCAGATACTCATCACCAACTTAACCACTGGTTCTCAGATTTTTCCCATTTGACTCTTTAGTGTTACCCAAAGCACAGAGATTATTTGTCAAATTGTTATTTGTCTTCTTTGTTTAAGATGTGGTGTCATGGTTTAATTCTCATGTGGATGTTTTGCTTGCCTTTAACTAATATCAGATATTTAATATGAATTATGGTTAACAATTGACATATATCTAAATGTGAAGATTTAAAAACACATCTGTAATTCTTAGTTTATTATGTTGTGGTTCTGTTTGAGTAGATCCAAATCTCTCAGGCCTCGCCTTTTTATTTATTTTGTTCAGCAAAATGAGCTCTAATGGCTGTTTAGAGATCAACATTAATGTTAACTCTTGATTTTTAAAAATGTATTTATTTTTTTTTATGTTGGCAGCTGGCATCAGGCATCTACAGCTTTGCATGCTCCCTGTGGAGTCATCACACCGACTGCTTCCTCCAGCAAATCTGTGCCAGAGATGAGGCTGCTGCGCTCAGCTCATTGGAGAGAACACTGCTGTCTCTGAAAGGTGCCAAAGGCTGCGCACACACACTGAAACTTGACTATGACAGGGCTTTAATTTGTTACTGGATGTTTCATGATGGGATTTTACTTCCATTAATTCAGCAATCAAGGAAAGTGTCATTTCTACATCATGTTTTGAACTTAAATAAATATTCCTAGGGGCAGCTTTTTTGCAAAAGATTCAGTTAGACCTAATTATATTCTTATTGCGGAAAACCCAGAATGTTTTTTTTCTCTCTTCGTTCTGCCCCTCGCAGTGCTTCGTAAATTGACTGTTCATGGATTTCAGGAGCCCCAACAGAACATGGAAGTCATGGTGAGCTTAATGTTGTTTTTGTCTCTGCCTTGGAAACCCTAATATTTTTCAAACGCTGATATTTTTCTGCTGGTGGTTCAAGTGACTTGAAAGTGACTCTAGTCAGACCTTGCAAAATGAGATGTGATGATAGAAAGTGCCTTAAGCCTTGTCCTAGCTCAAACCGTTAAGACTTCTGTTGGAGCTCGTCTCCCTCTCCCAGTGTGAGGCAGTTCCGCTCCATGTTGATTAATTTTAGTTCAAATCTGGTTTAAAATAATCTTCAGTGTGGGCTTTGGTTTTCTCATGGCTCAATGATAATAGAATTATTTTAACAAAATGTTCCAGTTCTTTGATCGCCAGATCCAAACTACTTCTTGTTAGGTCAAATATTAATTTGTTAACAAAATTGGGATACGTGTTTTACAAAAGTAATGGTGCGGTCATATTTCTATTTTAATTTAAAAATTTGTCCAGATGTAGCTTGGTGCATAGAGGGAATTTTACTCCATCCGCTCTTACATAAACAAACAAATCCTTGAATGCATTCAGGTCTAAATTGTGTATTAATAGAGAGAATTAAATGCTTCCAAGCTTTTTCACACTACAGTTAAGTAATTTGTCTCTACCGATTCTCTGAGTTCACAGATGGCTGATGTGTTTTACAGTATAGAGAAATAAAAAGAGGTCATGTGGGATTATATTGGAAAAAAAACACCCACAAGTCTCTCATGCTTCATTCTTACAAACAGAGTGGGTTTTACATTAAAGGTATTTACTCTATCAATAGAGGAACAAATGAAAAAAAAAAAAAATGAACAAAACACAGACATGGTTCAGGACTTATTTTGAAATTTAACTCGATCCTACACCATTTAACATAAATTGTAACTGCAGGACTGCTGTTTGTTGGTATTTAGAGGGTGCCCTGACACATTTAGATCACTTTAGTAACAAATGATAATGAAAACCTTTAACACGTTAAGATGGACCACCCTGAAGAAAGGCTTATTAAGGTGGCCTGCGTGTGCTGCCACAGCAGAGTAATAGTGTCCTAACATTGATTTGAAAGAACTCTGTTGGTTGAAACATCATTCCTAAAAAATAGTTCTCTCATTTATTTTGTTTCAGTGACAATAAATAAGATTATGGTAATTCATTTTGATAAGCACTGAACCATAAAGGGAACCTTTGTTCTCTCTCCAACCCGGAATTAAGATGTTCCATCTTGAGGGGAAAAAAGTGATCACACAGAACAACTTTTTATTGATTTGCTGTGCCTCTTCACTGAACCAAAAGCAGGGCAAAATGCCTCCAGCAGCTCTACGGAGACATCATTTTATTTCACCTGTCTGTAGTTCCGAACAATTCTGAACGCATGTTTGCTGGATCAAATAAATTGAAACATGGCATGGCTTTGAGAAAAGTAGACAGCTTTGTGGACTCTTGAGACATTCTCTTTGGACAAGAAGCTGAATTAAACACACCAATGTTGAATAATTTCAAAGAAATGTACCGTAAAGCAGCTCATTTAAAGAAACTGTAACTCACTAACAGATAAAATGACCACTATTGCTTAGGAAGCTTACTACTCCAAAAAAAGAAAAATGCAAAAATTGTGTCTGTACAGGACGGCCCCCTTTTGCCACCTGAAAGCTGTCTGCTCCAGTTCCGTCTCCACAGCAGAAAATTATCAGTATCGATAAGAGCTGATTTAGTACTGACAGGCCAACAGTACATTACAGTATTCTCCCTCCACTTGTAAACAAAAATGACAAAGTAACATGGCTGCAGTGTTTACTGCTGGTATGTAAAGTGAGCAAAAAAATTACTATGCAATAGCCAGAAACAACCACAGCAGAGTAGAGTAGTGCTTAAATGAGGACAGAAATAATTACAAGCCTATTAGGAAAATTCTTACATTATCATTTTAATTAGTAAATTGTTATGGTCCTTAAACAAACCTATTAGACATGCCTGGCTTTGGTTCCAAAATTCTGACTAATTTTGAAATAATGATGCACATAATTTGTTCATAAGTCATGCATTTGGCCAATGCTCATTGCTTTCAACACTCACAGTAATCACAGAATCAAGGACATATTGGTAACCTTTGGTTCTCTTCCATAGCAGCTGTTTCAACTCTCACTATGGGGAGAAATACTGACACCAAGATTGGCAGAATTGCCTTTTAAGTGATTTCAGTGGCACTTCAGGGACAGACGATTTGTTCCAGAGATTCAAAGAGGGTGCAGTAGACAGCACTTATCACCATTCCTCTCCAGACTGTGCAATTTACTTTGTACTTTGTTAATGAAACAGCATACTAATGGGTGTTGACCCAATGTATTCGCTTTGTGGTTGAGAAAGCTTTGCCCATCCCCATGAGGCCCTGTAAAATGACAGAATCACTGCTACACAGCATTGACAAGGGATACATGTGCTTCTTCACACAAGTTCGTGAATATATTCCAGTTTTGATCATACATGGAGCTGATTGAAGTTGCATAGAATTTCCTCAATTACTCTCTGAGATGGTTAGGTTGAATTCAGGCTGTGCTTCTCACTAGCCTGGCTAATATAGCCAGTGTCTGCGGATGTGGGTGGAATATTTCCCCACATGTCTGAGACACCGTGTTCCTGCGTATAGATAACCGGTTAGACCAACCCTCCATGAGCTGAAAGATTCCTGCCAACCAGTGCTTCACAGCCACTGTGGGGAAATCAAAATCACTGACAGATCCTCATCCATCAGTCTAGAAAGAGTTATAAAGGATAAGAGCAACCAGCTGTTGCTGCATCCGTCCGAGGGGCGCTCCCTAATTGTGCACGGGCATAGAGAATTCTCTACAAATACACACATGTCCTCGGCCAACTCCGCCAAATTGAATTTCCCCTGGATAGCAGGTCTAGAACAGCTGGTACATGAGTTGGCTCGAGAAACTACAGGTGTGCACTGCTCTGGACAGTCAGGGTGTCAGCTATGTGCCTGGGCTGACCTCAGTGCTCGGTAAGTGTTGATGGAAGCCATAACTAAAACATGATGGCTTCTCAGACAGCCTGGTCCACTTCAATCCAGCAGCTCTGGAACACCGACGTCGGACGACTACGACGGCCCCCCTTTCCAGACTAGAGTTTTGGGCAAGGAGATCCTTTGAGATTGTCCCTTAGCTTGGAAGTCTGTAATTATAGCCAGTTTTTCCACTATTGTGAGTGTAGGCTCAGCCCAGCTGTCCTTTTGACTAAACCTTCTGTCGAATATTCAGAGTTGGCACTCTTTTGTTGTTGTAGAGCACACCACCAGGCTCAGCACTCTGCTGTCACCATCATAGTTTCACAGGTTTGAAGACTTTGTTTGCCACAGGCTTTTTGTAGACCTCATTGATATTTCTTTCACCATATCTTTTCAATTTTATTTCATTTGAAAGCGAGCTTGACATTCTGCCTGAATGTGTGTGACGGAACATTTTTATAATTCGGATGCTCTACTGGATCGGAGCTCGCAGGAGAAAAGAAAAAGCGGAAAGGGGTGACGATTTAGAGTATAGACTGTGGGGCTGGCTGCTTCTTCAATCCCAGTCGAAATGGCAGCTGGAATAGGTGGACGTGTCGGTGGCCTGGTCATGCAGAGATTTCTTCCACACCCATGAACTCTTGGGGCCTCCAGGGGAGTCAGACAGTTGAAGCCAACAAAGCACAGCTTGAATATAACTTGCGAGGTAGAAGGGATTGGATGCTTCTTGGTAGGCAGAGATTCAGTGCCTCATCGTCCCTCTTTTCCTACTGGTATCTCCGCATGGAAGTGACAGCTGCACCAAAGAGAACATGGCTGACGTTAGGAGTGTCAAAGAACTCTTCCTTCTCTTTTGTTGTCAAACTAGGTAGCGTCGAATGCCCTCTCTTAAAGAACCCATGCCACTTCTGTTTGGAGACAGAGATATTGCAGATTTCCTTCCACAAAGTAGCATCTAGTTTGATTGTTATATCCTCTTCTAATTAAACTTGGTAAGCCACTAGGATGGAGGAAGTATTGCGGGTTCGCACTAATGGGCATGTTGGTCGCATTTGGCACATGCCCTTAGATCCCCAGACAATCCAACTATGAGCTTCCCATGATGGAGGGTTTCACGATCTATGATGCTGTTCTGCATCACATTTGTCTCTTCAAGCAGCACGTGTTGCCATACAGACAGGCAACATCTGCTTCTCTTTCTTCTTTGGTTCAAATTAAATAACGCAACCCTCTTTGGAATACCAGCTAGAGGAAACTGAGCCTAGTAGCTTTGTGCCCGCACTTATCTTGCATATCAAAGTCTAAAGGATGTAGTGCTGCAAATTTGATGCCTTACTCCGCTGATTTTTAATTCCCACGGGATTTAGGAAAGAAGACATACTTCTACTCTTTGTTGTTGGACAGTGTGGGCCCAGAGTCTCAGACTCTGCTCAGTTATAGACATACAATTGTGGTCAGCATGAGAGGCGAAGAGACCCGAAGGAGCATGGGTGCATTACAGATTAGTCTGGTAAACAATGAGCCACCGAATTGGAGGGAAGCCCATTGTGCCCAAGCTGTGCACCTTGTTAATGAATGGTGGCAGACTTCTTTAAGAAGAGATTTTTTAATCTTAGTTGATGCTATATCAGCAATGCATATAGAGTGAAGGTTCAGGTCCCACCTGATATAGATTTCACTAGTGCGTGCTGCATTTGATCCTCTGCTGAGGTCCAACAGAATAATTCTGATCTCAGTTCATTTAATTTTTTTTTGTCTTGTGAACAGGTCCAATAAACACCAATTACTTTCATTTTTTTCTACCATAGAGACATAATTGTATTCAATACTTTTTCATTTGTTTGCTAAAATTCCTTAAAAATGAACTGTGGTGATGGAATTAGAGCTGTAATTTTTCATTAATGAGATTTCTGGTGCATATCGGCTCAATGTTTTGTTTAGGGAGCAGGCATTGATGTCAGCATCATGAGTCGGACTTTATAGAAAAATAATGGTTTTCCTAAGTTAATTCCTGGTCATTATCAGTTTGTTTTCAAAAATATTTTAAAATACTATTGAGAATACTATGGAATAATATAAAAGCATTGACTGAAGAAAACAGAATGCTAGCAAAATATTTAAAAATTATGCTGCAGCCACGTTTCTCTTTTTGGATCTGCTTTCCTAAACTCTGTTTGTTGTGCCCAAGCCCTCTGGCAGTAGTTTATGACTTTTACAGTTGGTTCTCCAGTGTAGACTGTTTTGCAGGGAAACTTCCCCAGATGATGGGGGCATTCTGAACATATTAGGCCCATTTTCCACAGATTATACTGGGGATATTGCTGGAGAACTGCAGAGAGAGGGAAAATAATAACTAGGAATAACATTTTCCAATTCTCTAGCAGCTATAACATTCAATTAAAAACTTATTTTGCTGATGAATGATTTTTTTCTCCAAGTTTGATTGTCAGAGAAGTGCTGCTTAAGTGAATTTAGAATTTACACCTACATAATCAGAAATGTAAGGCTATTTTGAGAGCCCATTGAGATTTGATCTAAATGTTTTGGGTGTAATAGACATATTTGTGTCATTGTCAAAACTAAAACTTTGTCCAAACAAACCTCAGTTTAAAGCAGTGTTGACATTCCAGTTTATACCCAACACCATTGCCATTGTTTAATATATCAAGCTTTGTATATTAAAATAATTTGTTAACTGTCAGAACTCATTCAGTTGAAATTTTTCTTCTTTTATGCCATCCACCTTCGCTGTGTCTCTTATCGGAATTCCCAAAGTAGCTTAACAAATGTCTGTCATTATCTTTGTTCTCCATCATCTCCCACTCACTCCTGTGTTTTTTTCATGACACCCCCCCTTCCCCCGTCTGCACTAGCTCTGTTAAAAGCTCAAGTTCTCAGCTGAAGTGTGTTTGTTGGATACGTGATTAATCACGCCGCTATTGACCTCATGGCTCAACATTAATGCCGAATTAAACAGATTGCACCACCATCTATCATCTAATTTCTCATGCTAAGTCGCTACTACACCGGGCTACAGAAAATTGATTCACTTTCATACTGGGTTACTCTGCACTTTTATTTAAGCCCTTTTGTACAAAGGCAAGTGTGCCTACACACACAAATGCTCACATTTCTTGTGCAAGCATATTTGCTCCTCTGTGACACTGGTGAAGTTTTCAGGATTTCTTCAAATGCTTAAATGTCGAAAACATTAAAGTTTCTCACCTTCTCTTCATGTCTACCCTTTCAGAGTTTCCTGAATGCAGTGTTTGAAAGACTTAAGCAGTTCTTGGAGTGCTGTGAGTACATGTCTCTTTCTCTGTCCAGAATATTTCATGTAATGCGTCCCCCATTTTGATATGCAAAGAAACTTTAATCTACTTAGTAAATTAGACGTGTAGTCGAGGGAATAGTGCATCACTCAGTTTAGATCTTAAATTAGCTATAATAGCCCATTTTATAAAAAGAAAGGGGGAGCAGAGGCCTGTGTGACAAGAAGCAAGTTTTTTTAAAATTCATCTTATGTAGTCATAGAATGTGACTGTAATGCCAACATTTATTTTCCAATATAAAATAAAAATATAGGAATAAATAGTAGATGTTTAACATTGTTCCCTAAAACCTCTGTTGCAGGTGTGCTCCAGGTGTGACTCAAATTATATTTTAAGTAATAATGTTCAAAAGCTTTAGTACATAGTTATTTAAATACAGTAGCTTTTTTACATTTTAGAATGTGATTTAATAGATGGTGGGTGACTTGGTGGGACTCGGGTAAACTGCCCCAAAAAATATATGCTGGCCCTGAAAAGTCGATAAATGGTATCCTCTGAAGTCCCTAGTTTCCTTGTTTCTATATTTGTATGGTATTCTAACCTGTATGAGCTTGAACAATGCATTCTTTCACTACAACAGTCACACTTGCTGTTATCTGGAACAAAAGGATTACAATTAAATGCAGAAATGGTTTCTTCAGTTTAAACCCAAGCAAAGATTCAGTCCTTTTTTCCCCATCCGCATAAAAATTTCCTATGATGTCATGTGGCTTGAATTAATCATCATCGGTCCTTTATTTCCTTTCAATGCAAATTTATATACACTACTCAAAATAAGTTAGGGATATTGTGAGAGACTCTGTTGATTTCATTTATACGTAAAGTGTTTGTTTCACTCCACGTTGAGAGGAGCCCGTTGAGGTGGCTCGGGCATTTGGTCAGGATGCCTCCTGGTCGCCTCCCTGGTGAGGTGTTCCGGACACGTCCCACCGCGAGGAGGCCCAGAGGAAGACCTAGGACGCGCTGGAGGGACTATGTGTCTCGGCTGGCCTGGGAACGTCTTGGGATCCTCCCTGAGGAGCTGGCAGAAGTGGCAGGGGAAAGGGAAGTCTGGGTTTCCCTGCTTCGGCTGCTGCCCCTGCGATCCGACCCCGGATAAGCGGTGGAAAATGGATGGATGGATGGATGATACAGGCACCTTATTTTGTGCTTTTCAAGTATTGGTCACATGTACGGTGTGCCTTACATACTGGGGCCAACAGCAAAAAACGTAAAGACAACCCTTTTCAATATGGCATCGATTTCAACATTCTATGGCTATAAAAAGCTGGTATTATTATTAAGTCGTTCCAAGTTCATCATTCAAACCGCCATGAACATGAGCCACGACGAGCGGTGCCATCTGGCCACGGTGCGCATTTAGGGCGGTGGCCGTCAGTCAGATGTTGCTCGTGAACTTGATGTTCAAAGTGTCATCAGCAGACTTGCATGAAGACACAGATCTACTAGCAGACTCCGTGACATACCTAGTAGTGGAGCCCCACGAGTGACAGACCGCAACGATGACCAGTAACCAAGGACCTGTGCCCCCAGACTCAGTGATACAACTGCCAGTAAGCTGCAGGTCTTTATAGGGGATGTGAAGGGCACTGGGGTTTCAAGCCAAACCATTCACAACCGACTCTACGCTTTGGTTGAAAGCCAGATGACTGTTGCAGGTGACACCAAGACACCATCAAGTTTGCAGTGGGCACAAGGCCATGTGACTTGGACAATGCAGCAGTGGTCTACCGTCCTGTTCAGTGATGAGTGACGCTACACCTTGCACAGATATGATGGTCGCCAGCTTTGCTGGGGAAGGCGAAGTGAGCAATAAGCCGAGGTCAAGATGGTCCCCAGGGTTTGCTTTGGCGGAGGAGGTGCAACAGTCTGGACAAGCCTCACCAGTCAGTGCAAAACACATTTGTTGATGGCTCAATCACTGCATGTTTTTACCTCAAAAGACATCGCAGAACCCGTAATCATCCCCTAATTCTGCCTGCACAGCCACAACCTTCTCTTCATGGATGATAATGCTCATCACATCTCGCCAGAATTGTCGCAGCTCAACTTCAGGAAGTCAGAGTGTTTCATATGGTATGGCCAGCAATGTCCCCATGACCTGAAGCCCAAAGAACATGTCTGGGACCAGCTGAAGCAGAGACTCTATGATAGTAGCACACCCCCATGTGACCTGGCAGAACTGCGTGTAGTACTTGTGGAAGAGATGAACGTTGACTCAGAACAACATCATGGGGCTAGTGAGGAGCATGAGATTTCGCTGTTAAACTTTCATTGCAGTGACAATGGTGGAAACAACCGCTAATGACACTGTCAAATTTGGTTATTTGGGGCTATCCTTGTTATTGTCTAAATGTTTTGGGTAATAGATATTAAACTAATAAAAATTGTGATTTCTTCTCAATCATTATTGGTAATATCAAAGGGAACTTTGACTTATTTAATTAAAATTCAGATCAAATAGGAAAAGCACTCCTGTAAACAACAATATCCCTAACTTTTTGTGAGTGGTGTAAAACCATTATGAGTAGGACATAACTCTTTAATCTGCGGTAGAAGTTTGTTTAGAGGAAATACGACCGCACTGACTTGGATGACTTTGTAGAGCATCTGCTTGCACTGCTGGATGTCACAGGCGCTCAGATAAACAACCGATTAAATGGACAGAATGTCAATAAAATGCGATTGTGATTTGCTTTTACTTAATGCTTGAACTGAACTGAATATTAACGAAGCAAATGAAGCGACTGTGGTGCCACATGAGCTTATGAATTAGGACACAAAGGTGTATGCTCCCTATGATTAAACATAGCCTTGGAACTTTAATGTCCATTCTGATTTGTGTCTTTGTTGTTGAATAAAAGGTTAAATTACACTGGACATCTTTATTGGTTATAGCATCATGAGTGGATTTTATGAAGTCTGAATTTATGTGAGAGGAAGCGAGTAATTTCTTCCTGTAGTTCTTTTAATGAATTTTATTATGATATATTAGATTGTAACATTATAACATAGTAATGAGTTTTAAAGAACATAATAACTGGTAAGTTGAATTGGGCATTAAGTTAAAAAAAAAGGGAGATTTCTAAGTGCTCTGTCTGCTCTACTGCTCCTGCCACAGAAGACCCTTTTAACGCTTGTGTATAAAAGAAGCATTTTGCTTCTTGTTTATTATTTGCCTCATTCAAATGATGTGATTTACAAAGCGGTTTTTCTAAATGAATGACTGGAGGAAGACAGTTTATTTTATTAAAAACATGAAGAACTTACGATAATTGTCACACTTTCTTTCATTTTTTTACATTTTACTTTTTAAATGGTTGATGAAAAATACATTTCCCCCCCTGAAAATAATAACAGAAGCTACTGGGTTAAAGTTGATAAGTACCCTTTGTGTCTTGACTAAGGTATAATGATGATAAGAAGCTAATTGCTTGAAAACATGTTATGGTTTGCTAAGTGAGTTTCTTCCAACAATGAAGTAATTGTATGATTGTTCTTTTTTTAGGTCGCCAGGTTGGCCCAGAAAGCACATGCAGAGAAAAGCTGGAAAAAACCATCATTCTATACACTAAAGTTGTGAGTGTACTCTCAGGAGCTCAATATTTAATTTTCAGATTTGATATATTTCAGTCTTTTCTGACTAACTGTAATTTCTACAGGATCTTTAACTTTACTTTTCTCTCTTTCCATATACATATCCTTGTTGTGCTTTCCCTCCCTTCCCTCCATGTAGTTGTTAGACTTCCTGGAGTATCATCCGTGTGCATTCATACCCCTAATCCAGCGCTCGCTTGAATTTGCCGTCAGTTATGTGTTCACACCTGCCGGAGAGGGCGTGACCTTTGAGCGCTTCACTGTTCAGTGCATGAATCTCATCAAGATGATTGTAAAGAACGATGCCTACAAACCTGCCAAGAACATTGATGGTAAGATAGTAAAGCATTGGGAAAGAGGCGATTTGAAGAAATAAACTCGTGGTTGTGGAAAGACGCAACATTACAGTGATTCAAATTATACATGTTGATACGGAAGATTGAAATGAAAGTCAGATTATCAAAAGCGGATTTTCTGACTTGGAGGACAATAGGAACTGCTAGTAGTTCTTCAAAGGAGTTGACTGACAGTGTTTTGAAAAGCGCAGTGTTGAAATACCTTCTGTGTCACAGCTTTTCGTGTTTTTTTTTAAGCCGCCACAGAGGCCTCCAGCTCTTCATTTGCTATGTAGCGCAACATTTGGCATTTGTTCTGACAGTCAGTACAGCTTCTGGTGTGCCTTACTGAAGATTACCCAACAAAGAAATAATTCTAGTGAGCCTCATGTTTGCATTGCTTGGTTCAGTGTTGCAGGTTCTTTTGAAGTCTGATTTCAGATTTGCTTTTGTATAAAAAGTAAAATAGCATCATGAGAAGCAGAAATACGTGTTTCGAACATTAGATCATCACACAGTTGAATATACATTCATATACAAGAAGCCTGTGTGCTGATAAAGATACTTTGCTCGGGGTTTTAACAGTTGCTGTTATTTCCAGCCAGAGAGAGAAAAAAGCAGATGCTGTGGAGGCAATCGCTTCCTCATTATTCAGTGTGCTCCTGCCTCCTGTGGTGTCATTTTTTGAGACACAAATTCGCTCCCTGACTCTGATCTTTTTACCTGTCTCTCAGAATCTTAACAATATTGTACTAGAAAAGATCTGAAATGAATTTCATATCAACATGACTGTCTATTCACCTCGCTGTAAATGGTAAAAGTTAATTTTCTATAGTTTAAGACACAGCTCTCTTTTCTATTTAGCTTTTTTTAATACCGGATTTGATTTCTATCTTTTGTAAGAATAACTATCTTCTAAGTTAGGATTTAAAGCCGAGAAGAGTTTCAAACTTAAATTGAAGAGCTTTTTTTTTCAGTATGTAGCTGTGAGAACAATGCTGAATTTCTTTTTCCTTATCGCGTCAGTGTTTTTCCCCTGTCTGTCCTTCAGACAGCAAACCCGAGAGTCTGGAGGCTCACAAGATCAAGACTGCCTTCTTTACTCACCCCACGCTGACCGAGATTGGACGTCGGCTGGTTTCACACTACTTCCTTCTCACTGAAGAAGAACTGGCAATGTGGGAGGAGGACCCTGAGAGCTTTGGTAACCACTCACGCTGAATCCACAGATCCTGTTTAGGCCAAAATGAGTTGATTAGCATGTCTGGACATGGGAGAATTATCTATTTGGGTTGGGGTGTATGAAGGACTCAGAGGTTAGTTGGAAATTTGATAGTCATTCACTGAATATTGTAGTAATTAAGTATGTTTATTTGCAGGCGTTTATAGCAGCTGAGCTCACAAACTGTTTAAGAGAGAGCAACTTGACTTTCTAAATTTTTCCAAAAAAGCTTCTGGGGTTTTCTTCTTGACTATGAAGAGTCTGCACAGAAGCAATGGGGTATTTCATTATGCACCAAATGTGGGTTTGTCTTTAACCCACAGCACATTATTGTGTTTTATAAAAAATGCACAATGAAGCAGCAAATTGGGGCTTAGCAGACTGGATTTTCCTTAAAAGTCAGGAAAATCCATGTATACCCATGCATAACGATCTAGTGATCTGAAAACGTTAAGTCTCACAAACAGGTCAGGGAGAACCAAATGGATGTAAAAATGCTGTGAAACAAGTGGTGAACAGTGTATACTCTGCTGTGCACCCTGTACTATAACCTCCAAACTGGATACTCTAATCTAATGAATTAACTTTTCATTTTGATCATAGCTGTTGAAGAAACTGGTGGTGACTCCTGGAAATACAGTCTGCGAGTAAGTACATACAACATTCACACACACACCCTTTTAGAGAGTTGTTTATTCATCTTTTATTTAGCTCACAAATTAAACAAATTTGAATTGATTGGTTTTCTGTCTTTAAGCACCCATTGATGATAGATAGTGTTTTCTCTGTTTAAAGGAAATACTTGCCATCAGAAAAAGATCATAAATACTTATGCATTTTGTAAATTCAACTGTATACTTTTTAAAGTGAAATGTTGCCAAAATCCACTCACCAGAACTTAAATACAACAGTTCTTTAAATGACAAATATTTATGAGAATACCAAAATACACCTACATAGTAAAGTGATCCATCACACTTGAGAGCCACAAAAAACGTGTTTATATACGGCGACACCTTCTTCTGCCTGTATTTCCCTTTAATGTGATTTCTCTTGTGTTTGCAGTGTAATAATCTTAAAATGGCAGAGCACATTATCTTGTTAATGTCGCCTTCAGCTGTCATTGTGTCCTTAAAATGGAATCTTTACACTACTTTGAAGTTGCCTGCTATCTGAGAGAAAAGTTTATGAAGTGTTCTGTATTTTTCTAACGTTCAAAGCACTGCTTTATGCTATGGCATTGACAGTATTGTGTACATTAAAGCGTGATAGATCAGTTACTACTGCTTTGAGCATCATAGCTCGTGCTGGTGGCTGAGTCTATTCAGCTGAGTCTTATCTTTAGCTTTTGCTGACATAATCTCTCACCATTGTTCTTCTTTCTGTCTAGTTGTCATTTCCCCCCTTTCTTCTTCTTGTGTGTTGTATCCTCACTTTATACTCACTTTAATTTCAAATAGCACACTTCTGGGCTGTGAAGCATATCTGCTAGACCTTCAAAGGCTCTGTTGAAGTTTTAAAATAAATTTAAAGCAGACTCCTGCAGATGAAACGTGAGATGATCTATTTAATATAAAAGCACTTGATCATTTTGAATTTTCAGTAGAAAGCTTTTATTGATTTTACATATTTTTTTCTTTGCATCTTTTTTTTTGTGGATCAACGTTGCTTTTGGTTTATAGTAAGAACACCATCTGTGTGATTCCATTTTTACAAGCATCAGTTTATTCCTGAAGATTTACTTAAACATTTCAGGGATCCAATTTTGATTTAAACTTTGACAGTGTGAAAATCTCCTGATTTAGTGTGCATAAGCATAAGACCTTCATTCAGAAGCATGTCCCTTTTCTCACACGCGCTTGTCATCCTTTTGACCTTTGTATCAGCACATTTTAATTTTCACGGTGGTTCACGGATCAATGTTGGTTCCCCACCAGTCTATGTGCTACGCATAGTTGACCTGCTCGTGTTTTCATAACGCTGGATTAAGTTATCACAGTGGAATGATTATGCAGACACGTCGTCTTATGTCACACATACTGTGTTGCATTTATTCACAAGCTGGTGCAGCACGTGTCAGATTTAATGGACGTTTTTATTTGTTATAGATTTTTGTTTTTCCGTGGGTATTGCAGCTAAAGCGAATAAATGGAAGACAAAGAGTGCACCGAGTCCGTTGAACAAAGGCTCATACATACAGAAATCCCCAGATAGTGCACTATTGATGTTTTTCCTTATTGAGCCGGGAGCTCATTTTTATTGAACTGAGAATACATTGTTTTTGTGATGCCTGCTTCAAAGAACTGACGTCAGCCACTCTTGTGACCACTTGCTAACACCCAGTGGCTGACAAAACCACAGGTGGCTCCTAAAAATGTGAAGTTTGGATGATTGCCAATCAACTGTCTTTTCATGTCTTCTGCTCCATTTCTCTCTCCTCAGCCATGTACAGAGGTATTGTTCCTGGATATCTTCCACAACTACAGCCAGACTTTGACCCCAGTGCTGCTGGATATGGTACAGAATCTGCAGGGTCAGTCTAATGTTTCATGTGTGTTTTAATAAAAAAAACAGTATGAAAAAAGAATCTGAGCAGTACTTTGCATGACAAGAAACTTGTCAGTTACTTTGATATATTCAATCTAAATATTTGTTAATCTCTTGAATAGATTGGAATGGTATTTAATCATTTTGGAATGATCAAAATTGTAAATGGAAGCTTTATTTGTTTAGTATAAGCAGTTCGGCTCAAGTATTCACAGCATCTGTAATCGGTAATCTTGACAATACTGTGAAAGTCCCTGGAGAGTCCCACACACAATGAGCACAATGCTCCCAGTCTCACGGGGGAAAGTAGCGTGTAGCTCTTCTTCTGTTGCTGTATTAGGGGTGCCATTGCTCACAGTGGTGGATCACAGGGGTCTGCTTCCACCCTGTCTCTTAAGCTGCTTTCCTTTTAAAATGACAGAGTAGAAATTGGCCCTGCTGGAGAAAAAAGAATTGCCAGATTGAGTAATTGTGCTGTTGAAAGAAAGCATGTATTGATCTATGAAGTCCCAGGACAAAACAAGGACTAATAGAGGCAGAGAGGCCAAGATGGTGAAATAACTTAGGCATGATTGATATAGTGGGCCAAGGTCTCTTAAGTTTCTCCTGAGTTATTATGTGGTCATAGGGTCCATTGCATCCAACACGTCTCTTTCTGTCGGTGTTAGTATAGAAAATTGATTTCATAGTTTAAACTCTGATTCTGAATGTCCAGCGATCGTATGTTTCCAGGCCCAACCAACGTGGAGGACCCGGTCCAGCTGCTGATGAAGGATGCAGGTGAGTCAAAGCTCCGCTTAAAAATCATCATTATTGTTTTTTTTTAACTTTGTAGTATTTCTGTTAGATTTTAGTCAAATATTTGATATAAACAATTATGTTAGAAAATAAACTGATAGTTATTCTTTAAATGTTTTTATTTGAAATGATAATTCCGAGGGATTCAAATTAAAAAAATGATGGCGATGAATAAACTGATGACACAGAAATGTAAAATTCAACTATGGATTGCCCTTTAAAAAAAAAAAAAAAAGATTTCAAATCTTTATTCCACTTTTTATATTGGTCTTTTAAACAATGTGTACATAAAAGGCCCCTGTTAGCTCTATGCCCCCTGAGATCTCATACAGTGTTTTATTGAAGAACAGACTGCTCTGGGATGATGTTACCGTTTTAGTTAAAGCAGGTCAGGATCAAAGAGTGTCATTTCTCCATTTTTTTTTATTTGTGAAGGTTCATCCTTTTCCAATATAATTAATTGTGGATTTCATAATAAACGTGTATTACTTTCTATGAAATTAGAGAACTGTTTTGAAGTCATTTTGTGTTGTTGCATTGATATCCATGCTGTGTTTGTATGATTTAAGTAGCTCTTGTATGCACCCCTCATTCGTCATTTTAATGCCTGAGGAACAGCGGCACCCACTTCCACTTGCTGAAATATTGCCCAGCAGAGCTGAGAAAATATATTTAAGCACACCATTAGTCATCTGAGATGCTTTTTTAACTGCAGTAATTGCAAAATGTTGAACCTTTCATTTTGGGGAACCACAATTTGTAGTGATGATAGAGCAAGTTATAATTATACTGTGTCCCAGAGGCATGTAAAACTGTCAGTTAAAAAAATAGATCTGTGTCAAAATGAGACAAAAATGTGACACTTTAAGTGCTAATAAAGAACCATGATGAGGACCAACACATCAAAAGACATCCTGCAGAGGAATGGAGACACATTTTTGCTAATAATAACTTGCAGTTTTTTTAAAATCAGTTTTATTATCTATGAGAAAAAACTCCGTTTTTGGAATAAGGACTAATCCAGTTTTTGCAATAAAGTCTAAAACTGATGTGACTTATGGATATTGATCTTTTTTCTGCCCTTCATACCCTCTATCCATCCTCATCTTATATTAAATGAGAGACAATATGAGGGGAGGCTGCTCTTGTAACCTTTTGAATGATCCCACAGATATACTTTCACTTGCTTTTTCTTGCTTTTTGACTTCTATTGGTACACACCAACAGTAACGTACCATATTACTCTGAATCACCACTCTAACAGCGTATTATTAGTAAGTTAAAGTAATTAACAAAGCTAGCCTCCCTCCCATTAGATGGTCTCCTTTCTAAATGTTGTTTTCCACCCCCATCTTTTACTTGTAGCTTCTCAAAAGTCATAAATTAAAAATAAATATATACAATTATTTTATTTTTTGTTGATGTTCTCTAATGTTTCTGTAGTTTGTTCATACAGCCATTCATAATCTGTCTGTTCTTATATTGTTTTTTTCTTAAGAAAAATAAAAAACTTTTAAGATATCCTTATCCTGCTCTGTATATTCTAGTACAGAACAATATAAGATGTAGTTGACAGTGATTACTCATTTGAATAATTGATACACATATTTAGAAAGGTTAAACAGAAGTTATGAAGTGTAACTTGAGTATTGTGATTTAATATTACACATTTTAATCTTCTTAAATTGAGCTGTTAAGTCACAAATATGATTGCAGGTTTGTTTGTCTGTACAGAAAGCATGATATTTTCTTTCCCATTCTGAATGCTGCTACACATTGATGTCGGTTTTTCACAGCACATTTTTCCTTCCACAGTTTACAATGCAGTCGGACTGGCGGCTTATGAACTCTTTGACAATGTGGACTTTGACCAGTGGTTCAAGAATCAGCTTCTGGGAGAGCTGCAAGTCAACCATCACAGGTATTGTGCTTGAATTGATGGAATTGTTTCTGTACAAACACTCCGATGAGTTTGGTTTCTCTGAAGTAGAACAGGTGCAACGTATTAGACTGCCTAAGATTATTTCAGTATAAGCGAGATCAAACTCGCAGATCCCCTATGGCCGCAGAAATGACCATACAGCAGAATAACTTACTCTCAAACAGGCACTAAATCAAGTGCTATATTTCACAGCGCATTTCGTAATTTTAATTCCAGCCGCAGCACACTGCCAGCTTATGACTCTCGAGGCAGTTTGCACCATTCGGCTGAAATGAATTGTGAAATGTGAAGGAACTCAGCAGTGTATTTTGCTTTATATGAGCTCAATTTAAGTCATTAGTGGCAACTGATAAATTGCAGAGTTAATGTTCCTTTCCAGCATAACTGAAGTTAATTGACTATTAACCTCTCCACAGCTACTGACTGCAGTCAGTTACTCAGTGGGTAGATGCCAAGAGCCCACAAGTAACCAACCAATGCAAAGAGATCGCATCTGTCAAGGTTATATAAACTTCAGATGTCCAAACTTAATGTCCTGGCAGAATGTATCAGTACTCATGCAGACAAACAAGATGAAAAACGCAGTCGGTGATGAATCTGCTTGTGGTTGCTGTCAGATTGAGTAACAAACAGCATGATGCCAGGTGAACGCAATAACATTTGTTGGAAAAAAAGAGCGAATGTTGGAGAGGTGACATCATGGAAATGAGGAACAAAGAAGTGTCCTGTACATTCAGACCCCAAAGGCAATCAAAAGAAAAAAGCCTGGGGCGCTCGGAAGGTCGGCCACTCGGGTCAGTGCCGACGTCACCGAGGTCATTATGGCCCGACACCCACATGGTGCAGGTGTGAAGGAACCACTTTTACCTGAACCCTTATGCCTTTGTGCTTTTTTTTGAAACATTGAACTCCACCAATGCTTTGTGTTTGATTGTTTGAAAGTGCACCTCCCTGTTTGTTTGAACAAATACAACGTATGTATGAACTATTTCTGTGGGTTTTCACCTTTCGGTAGGTATGTCATCTTTTGGTCGAGGTTTGGTTTGCGGTATGCATCCTAAGAAAAGGAATTTATTCTCTTTTTTAATCTTATATGAACCCCTGCAAAGACATACAATCTAGCTTTTTGGTATCTGATGAAAGGGAACCTGACAGTGTGATGTGTTGGCTTGCAGCACACCAAAGACCTTAGGAAGAGGGGCATTTTTTTCCTGGGTTGTTAGAAAATGATGTGATAGCTTGATTGTAATTGCTTGTATCCTTTTGTTTGCTTTAATCTCCTTTTGATTGTGCTTAAAAGAAGCCCTTCTTCTAAAAAGTGAAATAAATCATTCATGACCCCTAGATGTGCCCTCACATGTTAACTCATGTAGATTAAAGCTCTGCTGTAATATTCCCACCCAATTCATTAACCTTTATAACGCCTATGTAGAAGCAGAGGGTTCCATTTTAAGATAATTCTTTCCACCTCTTTCTTTGATCTTTTTTGTAATCATAAAAAATAACTATTTTTGGTCCAATTTTGTCACATAGTCTTTCGAAGAATATTCAGTTAATTCAGATTCAGCATTAATAAAAATAAATTCCTGGACGCTGGGGTTTACTCCTGTTCTTCCTGCGAATGTCTGCACACGTATGGTTGTCGGTATGTTTGCTTTCCACACTGACAGTCTCCTGAATAAGTTGCCCTTTTCCCCTTTGCTGTTTAAGCTAGGACTGACATGCTGTTCGTTGTGTTTTGGAGTCCTTTGGGGAAGGACACAGGTGGAATGAGCAAAAGTTGATATGCTGCCCTCTGTGATGGGAATGGAGGTAGCCAGAGTAACTGAACTGGCTTGTGTTCATGAATGAGTCAGTATGTTTGGACACATCATATCAGTTGAGTTATTTATCCACTATGCAGCAGGATTTTCATACAAGCAATTTCCTGTTGACTTTTATGTTTGTACGGTGATAACAGTGCTGTCTGACAGAAAGCGGAGGCTAAGAGACTGCAATATTTCCCCAAACTTAAAAAAAAAAAGAATTGTGAGAAGGAGAATCCTAGCATTTTGGCATCTGTGTGAAGCAGGTGAGTGTGACAGATTTCCCCGGTCCCACTCTTGGACTTGCTGCACGTTTGTCGTGGTGGGCAGAGGAGCTGCAGCTCATCGACTGTCTGCCTCCCTCGACCCTCGGGGGGTTAGCACGACTGGTGGTCTGAAGTAACCTGCTTCAGACCTTTTAAGTTTCTATTCCTTCTATCTCATATCGTACGGTGCCGGTGCCAGCCGCCACACTGTCTCCTCGGGAAAGGTATGAGGCCTTATTGATTTTTATCTGCCTCATCGCATCTGGCTCTGCATTAATTCACGGGTCGTTTGGAGTGATTTGTTGATCTTGCAAGACCTGACTTATTTCCGTCCAGCTAAATATCAGCTAGTGCGGTACCAGAATCTCTGCTTATGTTTGACATATTTATGACTTAGTTTTAACATTGTTGGAGCAAGCCTCAGGGGCTGTGGTTGTGATTTGTATTTAGATAGTTGCAATTACTCTACAATGGTCGGTTTTTAAAGTTTTTATGAATTCAAATGAAGTCATATAAGTGTGGATATGTCTTTTTGTTGTACTTGGATCAGAAGTGCAGGTTTATCTATTACAAGGTGGGAATTAATCTCCCAAAAATTCTTTCACATCATGACAATTTGGGTTTAACTTTCTGATTCAATCAAATTGTTTTCTCATGGCTGATGTCTTGTTTACTGACTGAATTGAATGTTGCTCAAATTTGACTGATTTCTTTGCTTATGTTTCATTGATATTTGATTTTTTTTTTTTGACTGGAAAAATCTGTAATCCCTCCGAATCGGTAAAGCTCCCCCAAACCGAAATTAATACCTATGTTGTGACTAGATGAAAAAGAAATACTAAAGATTTTTGTGGACATTCGACAGTCTTGAGTTAGTGTCAGTCTTAGAGCTCAAAGGTGTTTCTATGGAACAGATTCCCTCTATTGTCTACCCCTAAAATCAAATAAAAGAAAAATTACACAATAGCAAATGTTCTGTTGTTGAGGATCATGTAAAGGAGGGATTTTGTGCAGTGTTACTGGGTTTTTCTCGATAGCTGTCGTTGTGATGCCTCGGGTTCAAAACGAATCTCTGAAGTTATGGAGGAGGACAGGTTTCCTGTGGGTGAGTCATTCTGACCTTTGACTGACAGACAAAAAGCCCTCAGTCAGTGTGTACCTCTATTTGCTTTTCCATTTTCTGCTTGCATTTTGCCTCTCTGCAAAGAAATAAATCGCAGTAGCCGTCGTCTGTCCAGGTGAAGCACATATTCCGTCTTTGCCCATCGTGGACTTGTATAATTATTTATCTGGCGGGCAAGAATTATTTAGTTATTTCAGCAGACAAAATGAATTGATAATAATTTGGGTCCACCATTGACTTTCTACTTTTTCCAGCATTTGTTGTCTTTGCCAGTTAATTCTATGGTATCTCATGGAGCGGCATGGTGGAGGGTCAAAGCATTTCCTTTTTTTATTTTTTCAAAGCATTTAACAGACTCAGTGGGAAGAGTCCCCTGCCCACTGGTCCAGCTGATCCTTCTCATGTTTGTACCACCCCACCACTTTGCCACATTCAAAGGCTTTTCTAAAAAGCCGATTGACCGTTAACATGTCTCAAACGTAATTCGGTGCCTTATAATTTGAACCACATATTGCATGCTTCTCTGCCTCCATATTCCTCTCCACAGAGTTTAAATGTCAAACTCTGTTTTTACCGTGATGAGAATTGAGGTCCAAATGGCCTATAGTTACATGTGTTGGATGTTTTGCACAGAAGTTCTAGCTTTTGAAAGCAAACAGATGGTTTGATGCTTACACAGTCACACACACACACATACACACACTTCACATACAGGCAGACTTGCAGTCTGTTAGGGCACGTCATGTGACATGTCCAAGCCTTGAGTCATGCTGCTGTTTAGTATCTTCTGGCTTCTTGCCCAGGCGTTGGTCTCTTGACACCATGCGGATATTTAACAAGACGCCAGTATGGGCGTTATCTCTTTTGCTCTATCCTCTCCATTCCTCCATCCCTCTGCTGCCTCATTTATGTAAAGATAATCCCTTGGGACCATTTCGTCTGTGGACACTTAAAGGACAGATGCTTCAGGACACTTGTGCAAAACAAGTGCTGAAAAACCGCCAGTGCTTGACGTGTTTAATTCCTATCAGTCCCAGTGGGTCTGTGAACCCCTCTGGTTTTCTAAAATTACTGTTTCCTTTACTTAGCCTTTACTCAGTGTTATTTGGCTTGTGCTAATTTAATCAGGTTTTCATCAGTCCCTATACATTTTTTTTTCTCTTGCCTTGTTTCATCTTAGTTTACTCTCTGAGTTGTGTTTTAAGGTGGCATCTGTTAAAGATATCCCACAAGGGTCCTTAATCCCTTTTATGATACCGCCACTGAATCCTGCCTACCCAGAGATAAAGTGAAGGAATATGATATATCCAGCAGAGGTCCTGTAATACGTGGTCCATTCCCTCAGAGCACACATTATACAGTTCACAGCATGTCTTGCTGATAAAAGAAATTCCAGAATGAGTCTGTAGTAATTGCTGTGCAAATGATCTCATTTGAATTTAAAAGACAGTTTTTAATGTATGCTTCTACAATATATCTTCCTCACGTTGATCCAATAACACAGTCTGCTGATGAACAGTTCTGGGAATAATCAGTTGAAATATTTCTTTCCAATATGAGCTGTTTCTTTCTCCTTTCTGCCAGGTACAAGTTGATACGCAGACGAGTCATCTGGCTAATAGGACAGTGGATCTCGGTTAAATTCAAATCTGACCTGCGACCTTTACTCTACGAGGTTATCCTGAGCCTCATGCAGGATCCCGACCTGGTGGTAAGGCAGCTACAGACATCCCTTTTTTTCTCCGTCTGTCTGTTTGTGGTTAGTTTAGTTCCTTCTTAAAAAACTCGTAACTTTGAAAAATAACTCAATATTGCTTTGATTATGAATCCCCTGAGTTCTGTAGCTCACTTCTTTTGAGCTACGAAACTAAGTGTTTGATTAAAGTGTTTTCTTAATTTAGAAAAATGAAGACATTTGCAGGCATTATTTACACAGTTAAAGGGAATGTTAACAATCTTAACCAAGGGAACAACTAGATATATAAATATTCCATGTCTAGACTGTTGTTTTTTATTCACTGTTCTGCTTGAGGATGAGGATGTTGAAAAAGTTTTATTTTCATTCCTTGAGCAAAGCACAAAGAATATAATGTGATTGTATTGTAATTTCTGCACCAATATAAAAGATGAGACCTAGCTACGAGCTGTTAGCAGTTTGTCTGGCTGTCAGAAGCTTGCGTTTCATGAAACCGTTTGGGGACTTGGTGCGCAGGCAAGAGGAAAAACCCATTATGCTTTGATGTCTAAACTTAATGCTGTTCTTGTGAAGGATTCAGCCCTATTAGGTCAATAGCACATGTCAGGGATGCTAACATCATGCTCCATTATTAAGTTAGAGCCTATCTAATGATAATTTGTGTAGTAGTGTGCATTATTGTTTTTGGTTCTGTGGTTACACTAATGCAGGGGAGGCACACAGGGTGGAACTTGTAATGGTACTTGTATGTTTATGTTTGCATAACGGCAGCTATACATTTTCATTAGACTGCTTTCAATGCCAATTGAATGAAAATGTATTTCACACAACCACAACATGACTATCATTACACACATAGTGTATTCTTTCAAACATGTATAATTTTAAGGGCATTCTTTTCTTTGTGTTCTTCAAAATTGTCGGACGTATTTAGATTAAAATAATACTAATTTACAGCTGAGTGAGGTTAGTTTGTTTTTGTAGTTTGAAATTATGCATTTCAATGGTTTTCATTCACATAAACTCGTGTTTACATCACCGACCAGCTCGCTAATCATGTGTGTCCCCTGATCAATAATGTCTCAGCCGACTCTTAAGCAGGATGAATTATTAGTCATAAACCTGTAATAATGCTAATGGACCAATCTTCTTCACGTAGTCAAATTAATCATTAATATTACCGTCATCAGATATTTCATCTAATTTACTCAGCTGAAAAGAGTAATTTAATTCAAGCTCTAATATATTTACCCCTATTAGCTTGCTGTAGCTCAGTCACTGTCACCGCCATGAAATGTAACTACTCCTACCCACACATCTACACATGCAGATGTTTTAGCTACTTTTGATCTGTTTTTATTATGAGTTTACAAAAGGGTCTACTTACATGAATAATCTCATCCATTTAATGTTTTAAAGATCTCAGTGATCAGGGTGTAACATTGCATCGTAAAATTAGACTTGTGTGTTTGGTTAAGACATAAAGGAGGATGCCTGCTTTGTTGTATGGAAATGTTTGGAATACCACAAATATAAAGTGTTAAAGTTAATCTTGTATCCATTAATATGAAGTACCACAAGAGCAATTCTATTGTTCTTAGGGTTAGGGCTAAAATGTGTTTCTAAATAGTAACAAAACCTTTACTTTTGGGGCATCTGATGACTCTACTGTTCATTTTTTCAATTCGGGGCATTATTTAGAGAAACCAGAGGCTGCAGATTCCTTCTCCATGTATCCTTCAGTGAACTGTCATGTCATGCAGCTGGATTTATATCTCATGTTTAGAAATAGATTCTAAGCAAAGGCTAAAAAATCTCAGTGGCAACTTAAACTTCTTATGTTTTCAGGCTTCATGGGTTCTCAGTGCTGGCTAATGTTCTTAAAGATTATTGTTAATTCAGCTTTGAAAATGTGGGACTGTGGCATTTCAACTACGTGTCCTATTTTTGCTGGCTTTTTCACCTTATTGCTTTGAAGGGTTTTTAGATATTTTGAAAATGGATCAGGGTTTCATGATTATAATCCTACTAAAAAGTATATTTCATCATGGTTGTACACTGGATGAAACGTCCTTACAGGCCTCAGTTTTAAATTACAGATCAATGTTGGAAGTAATTAAGATTAAAACTTGACACTAAGAACAGAACATTGCAAAAATGGAGAAATGTAATGTGCTTTTCCTCAGACTTTTCCTAAAATACTCTTGTTGCATGTAGTGTTTGTTTTTTGTTTTTTGCTCCCAAGATGTCCGAACTCAATTACAGTTAAGCTGTTTGTCAAATATTGTATCTAGAAGAGACATCTAGCAAAAATCACCTATCTTCTCTTATTTCTGCTTTTGTGGAATATAATTTTTTACATAGGCTTTTAATGAGTGATTTAAAGGATGAATCAGCTGTAAATGCCTCACTTATTTTTTATAAGGAATTGAAAACATTTGTTAGTTCACAAACATACAGCTTAATAGAATGCTGTTTCACTTTTCTTCCTGGACAACATAAAAGTATATGATATTTGTAGTGGATAACTTACTAAATTTACAACATGAAGGTTTCTCACCTACCATTCTTTTTTTGTCCTATTATTATTATATGTAAATAGTTATTTTAAGGAATCACAGTTTTAGTGTATCACACCAGAAATCACATTATTGTTATTTTAAAAGAGAGTGTTTGGGGCTCTTTGCTGCCAGTTACAGATAATCACAGACTACTCACATTTCTAAATGTCAGCTACTTCAGGGTTCTCTGCAGTAATGACAGGTTTGTGGTTAAAAATGAAAAAATATTTTTGGGAGCTCTAAGCTGTCCTACTTAAAGTGGTCAGTTCATAGTTTGCATTTTATTAAAGACGCAAACATGATCCTAATATTAGTTTGACAAGGTGACTCTCCTTTCACATCAACTGGCCAGGTTTTGTACTTGTCAACTGCCTCACTTAAGATGGCTGTGCTTTTGAGACAATGTTAACAAAAAAGAAATGCCTTAAAATAAGTTAGGCTACTGCTTAGGGGCTGGGCTGGACCTTCCTGGTAAGCTATTTTGGATAAAGGGAGAAACATTGTTCTCTGTATGCTCCCTGCTGTTGCTATGGAAACTCATATCTACATGTTTTATTGAGCATTTATGTTGCTAGTAGACAGTCTCATAAATCTGAATATGGGCCGCTCTTAGTTAGTTAGTCATTGTTGCTTTTCTCTGCCTGCTTTGAACAAATTAGCCCTTCAGGGAGACTTGGAAGGGATCCAACTTTCCATTTATATCCGACCTCATGACAAGTTTCAGCAGAATTTTAAGCACCTCTTTAAAATATCAGAGTATGGTTCATATATGACTAGTGTGCCAGTGATCACTGTCTTCCCCCCTGGAGGTGTAGGGACTAAGACATGTCGGTCATCACTGCTCAATGGTCTATGTATGAACCATAAGGGTCAGGCCTTTCTCCCGTAGATACCTAACCAATATTAGTTTCTCGTCTTAATTGATAAATTACCATGGTATTTGGTTTTGTAGTACACATTTTATGAGTTTACTTTGCATACAAATTAAAGTCACATAGACCTGGGCTTAACTAATTTATTAGATAAAATTTAGAAAACATCCTCACCTTTAAACACACTAGTGAAAATGTTTTCTCTATCGCCAATCAAATCCAGCATCCAAGCTACTTTAAAGTTGTAAAGTTTGAGATTTATATGTTTACAGGTTAATATCTGATCTACATGATGCCTGTAGAAGAGCACGTAAAAAAAAAACAGCGACAAAACTTAACCAAAGCAGTAAAATAACCAGGTCAAAAGAAACAAGGAGAATAGATGGATTTCTACCCCTGCTTGGACACCCGCATATTTAAAGCTATCAGTAATTGTTACCCCAGAGCAGATCCCTGGAGCATTTCATATTTCATCAGAAAATCGGCTGGAGCCACAGACCTGGAGGCCTATCCAGCCCCATCTGGAGTGGGATTAGCCACTGTGAGTGCCTCTGCCCAGTTAAGAGGACAATCCCACTGGTGAAAAAATTCTAGACTTAGAATGATGACATATAATGTAGAGATGTTAGGTCAACGGCTGCACTGAGAGCGAGTGGGCAGAGAATGTTTTTATGTCAAGTTTGGGTTTTTTCAGCAACTGAGAAATAAAGTTTTATCTGAGGCTGACAACCATGTTTAGTTTTTAAGAAAGCCCCCCAGGTTTTAGAAGGCAGTTTCAAAGAAAATAAATAATTCTTAATTTTAACAATACACTTGAATGCACTAAGAAATGCCTTAGAGCTTAATGGGTCCAGGGAAATGTTCTGATGTTGCAATCTTTTGTTCATATCTATTTGTTGCCAGATTTTGTCGTTTTTTTTCCAGCATACCGCCCTGTACAGAAGCTGAGTATGTGTTCTTTCTCTGTACCTTTGATCGTTGTTAATCTTGTGTCCATTAATGGAAGAACTCTCTGTTCTTTTTGTCCACAGGTGCGTATTGAGACGGCTACCACCCTGAAACTTAATATCCTTCCCATACTTGCACTGTTTGTCAGATGAGGCTGAACATCTGTGTCAGATGAAGCAATTCTGTTCACTTAACACGTATTGAAGCTTCAGACTCTCCAAAGTGAATAAAACAGGCACACAACCTGCTTTTTTTCCATTGATACGTGAATCGTTTGATTTATGCCTTAACTTGCTGTCACCTGTTGATGACTTTGAGTTTCGGACAGAACAGTTCCTCCCAGTGAGTACAACGTTTTAGTGATGCTTTCAAATCAACCTCGTAGCTGATCCAATGTATAAAGCTCTCCACCTGTTCCTGTTCATATCTCAACTTATACCATGGCATCTGTCTGTGTTTTAGTATCTGGATTCCATCTTTGGGCTGCTCTTCCAGCTGTTGCAGCAGGTTACGGAGTGCGATACTAAAATGCAGGTGCTCCACGTCATCTCCTGCGTCATCGAGAGAGTCAACATCCAGGTGAGAGGTGAAACCTGCAGAGGAATGTTTAAAACCAGCAAAGTAAACCCATGATAGTCTGATATTAATGGGTCCTCAGCATTGTTTTCGCTGTGGCAGAGCCCGACTCCAACCTTTCAGTCTGCGCTTTATTATTCATCATTCAGGTTGAGACTTCTCACAGCAGTGCTTTTATGGGTATGTTTAACCTGATTTAATTTTTCTTTTTCTCTCCCGAGCACCCATTAAGAAACCAATCTATTTCGCTACCAACCCTAAATAAAATTGACATTCCTCTAAACCCCTGCTGGGTTTTCCATTTTATGCACTTTTCTTTAAATTATTTCCTGACTGAAATCGGCATTAAAAATGCCTTTCATCCTTGTGAACTGTCGGTCTGGTTAAGTCTACTTCAGTCACTGGCTAAACTCCTGGAGTCACAGGAAGCCCTATTAATATTCAAGTTCCTCTCACAAGGTACTTTGAACCCACTGAAAAGTGGCAGCAGCTGAGAAAACCAGGCAATGAAACTGAATACAGCTTGAGTTGAAATGCACACGATGATGGATATGAAATTTAGCTCCTTTTTATGCTGTCAGTCTCACAAATGTCACCTTAGGCTAGTTGGTGGCTGTGTTTTTTTCACTTTTCATCTCCCTCCTCAGGGCTGTATGTCACGTTTCTGCTTTACGCTTTAATCTTCTCTTAGCCCGCTCCATCTGAAGGTGTAATTGAGCAACAAAAAAATAGAAAATAAAAGCTCAGTGTGCAGTCTGCAGTGTGGCTGCACAGTCTCTACAGACAGTATAAAAGGTTAGCAAGGGTCACAACTAGAAAAGGCTGAATACTTTTTGATGTCCTTTAATCGCTGCTGTAATCGGATGTCCAGAGTTGTCAGTTTATTTTTAGGATTGAGATGGGTATGATCTCCATTTGTAACTCAAAGATCTTTTTTTAGTATGAAATAATTTTTTCAGATAGCATACAGAAAATCTAGCCATCATTACACTGCCTTTAAGAGCAGTGAAGTTATCAGATTTGTAGTAAATTGTACCGATTTAACACAGACTTGCAGTAACATATTCAAACCGTTAGTGGTGATAAAGGAGATGTAATGAGCATAACAACTCAGGTCGGGGAACTAAATAAGATTGGCAAGATGGAGTTGGGTTGAAAATCCTCTGAGGAGAGTTGATGTCTATATTTGAGAGGATGCTGAAGAGGGAGTTCCATGCAAAGTGTCATACCATGACAGAGGAAGATGAATGGGGTGGGAGGAGATGGGTAAGTGATCTGCGGAGGTGATATCTAATGTGGGCAGCAGGAAGTAATGGATTCTACAGGAGAGGTGAGGAGTCTGCCTTCCGAGATGATGCAACTCAAAAACCACTTTTTCCATTTGAATGAATTCATCTTAAGATTGTTTTAGAACTCCTTTAGTTAAGCAATCAAGCTCTATGCATACAAAAATACCACAGTCATCTCACACTAACACAAAGAGCCAATTAAATATCCTAATTAGATAATCAGGAGGATTTTTTTTCTTTTCTCACACCAAAAACTCTGGGGTGTGACAGACAGTCACAGGCATCCCTTTTGTGTGTGTTTAAATAGAAATTCTAAGTTTATTTTGTTTATATTGTCATACCAATAATTCCATACCACATATGTGTTAAGATAAATGTTTAGATCATTCTTAGAGCAGTATTTTTAAGTCTTACTTAACTGAGGGTTGTAGTTCAGTGTGTAAGATCCTGTGCCGTTTAACACTAAACATTAAATATCAGCTTCTCTTCCTTATCATATATATTTTTTTGACATAGTGGAAAATATCATTGCTGTTGTGGGCTGGCCGACAGGCAGGCAAGTACACTCTAACTGATGTGATGTTTGGTAAAGGTTTAGTACGTGTTTTTCTCTCTTACGGGAAAGGCTTCCTTTCAGGGAGAAAAGTCGTTCACTGTGGCTGTACCTGCTGCTTCTGAAGTCACTCGGGTCACGTGTCTCTTTGTGACCCAGTATCCTCACAGGTGGATCCTTTGAGAAAACCGAGGATACCGTGTCCGTGATTTCCACAGAGAATTGTTTCTCTGATTCTTCAGACTATTTGAGAGTTTTTCACCCGGCCCGAATCTGATATTTTCTTCTTTTGCAGGAAAAAGATTAAATTCAACGGATATGAGAAGAGCTCAATGATGATAGTTCATGCCTGTTTTTTATGCATTGCTGCCTGAAGATCATGGGCAATCACGATTGGATTTCAGTATTCTTCCTTGCTAATAATGATTTTAATGAGATTTCTAATTTGTTTTACAATATTAAGTGAAACGATCTTTTCTCAGATCGTGCTCGCTTTTTGCCCATGCAGTCCATCAGTGCTGAACTCTTCAGCTTCTTTATTCAGCCTTTTTGGGACGCTGCTTTTGTATCGAGTCATGTTCCAGCTTGTCACATTGTAAAATGTTCCACTTTTTTGAAAACTTATGATTAACTTATTATCATTGCTCGGTCTTTTCAAACAATATTGACAGAAAAATAAAAGACGTTTTTGTGAATTTGAATGAAATTTTCACAGTGTTTGGTTTCTTTCCTCGTCTTGGTTCTTCTGCCTCAGATCCGACCGTACGTTGTCTGTCTGGTTCAGTATCTACCCCTGCTCTGGAAGCAGTCAGAAGACCACAACATGCTACGATGCGCCATACTCACAACACTTATCCACTTGGTGCAGGTATGTCATGACATCTTTTGAGCGATGATGATATTTGATATTTGATTTTCAGGCAGCTGGCCCGAGCGATGGTTAGGATTGCTACAAACGGAAAAGCTGCAGACACCAGCTCCATTCCCCAGAGGTTTCAAGTAGCCTGCCTGAGCCTTCAATAAGATTTGGAACCCTATGTGGCTGCAGCGTCAGTACTTCATAGGGGCAGATGAAAAGCTTAGTGATAATGACAAGCTGCCTTTGAGAGAGCAACACAAAAGCACATCTAGCAAACTGAATCAGACACATAGGGGTGCATAGTTGACAGCCCGTGGATTATTAAACTGTTGCCTCATACTAATTTTATTTTAAGATATACAGTGTATATATATAAATATTTTCAGCTCACACCAGGCTGTGCGAACAACTGTCTGTCAGGTAAAGGAAGCATTGGTTTGGGCATTGTTTCAGGTATGGTTTTAATCCAGTTACCTGCTGAATGCAGTGCACAGAAATGAGCACCTGGGACAGCCATGACATTTTGTTGCCCTGAAACAGGAGGACACTGATCTTGTAAAGACATTATTTCATCAAAATTATGTCAACTGTACATTTAGATCTTTTAAAATGGAATTGGGGCAAGCCAAAGATGTTCATTAATGAGCTAGTGGCAACCAGTAAACTGTTAAGTTTGCAAGACATGGTGTATTAACTTGCTTGTTTTCAAACTTGACTAAATTTGGCTTGTAAAATACTTGCTCTGTGTGACTGAGAGGCTGGTTTATTGCCAGCAGGGGATTGAGTGAGGCTTTTTCTCTTTTACACCCACAGAGAAGCATGAGGGAGTAAATTAATGTCATGCCATCAGTGAAATGGTGTTGACAGTTCTGAAACACTACTCTGGATCCTCTGTGCCTTTACACAGATTAATTCTCCTACTCAGGCCCCCACCTGCCTCAAACACACACATTCAGTTGTTGGTGTCCAACATCAGAAGACTTTTGTGGCTGTTCTGTTTCTATGAATATACAGAACGATGTGTGACATTAAGGGATGAGGTCAGAGCACGAAATAATGGTTGAGTTCGCAGTCAACTGTTTGAGGGCATGTTTAAAAAAGATTGATGAGAGTTCCCACAGGCTTTGGATGGCATAAAATGATGAATGAATTAATTCATTTTATTAATTGTACAACTAGATTATTGATAAATAACAGATGGATTATTACTAACCACAATCATCTGCTACACATTAATCCCTGTGTTTAACACCATTTGATCATAGATGTCATTATGATCCAAATGACCAATAAATGAGCTGTGACTTGGTTCCTACAGTTTTGCCCCGGTCTTTTGGAATTTAATGGGCGCACACTGCTTTAAAGGGGCCAGAAAACGAAACGTATATCTTTCCCTGATAACAAAAGCTCTTGGTAACATAGAATCACTGGATCTATCACAATTTTTCATTGAACAAAGGGGAGTAGCAGTATGCAGACCCCACTTTTGTCCACCCTATCTATAAAAAGCTATGCCCTCTGACCGTTGGCGGAACAAGGCAACAGGTGCTGGTGAGTCAGAGCTGCAGCACATCGATAAATCTATTTTGCTCTGCTCTGCTCAGATGATCTGAAAAGAACCTTGATTAAACTGAAGCACATGATGCACAGTAGAGTTTTGATGCCCTTGTCTGCTTTCCTTGTCAGGCTGTCACGTTCCGGCATTGACTTTCCTGCATCTCTGTCTCTATAGGGCCTTGGGGCAGAGAGCAAGAATCTCTACTCTTTCCTTCTTCCTGTCATCCAGCTGAGCACTGACGTTTCTCAACCGCCACATGTGTATTTGCTAGAGGATGGGCTGGAACTTTGGTAAGTGTACACGTGCAGTACCGTTAAACATATGAGTTACAAGAAAAATAAAAACGTCCCTGAAGCAGACATTTATTGCACTTATAGCACTTAGCGATATCACTTCATCCCCTCCGTACACAGCTGCACACACAGCTGCACACAATGCAGCGGCTCTAGTTGTCTGTATCGCTTGCTTATGAGCGTTTTATTCATATTAGCCATCAGCCTCATTTAATGACTCATGATGACTACACATTTTGAAGCCAAATGCAAACACTTTACAGACTGGCAGTGGTTAATGAGCTCGCCATTACCTCCAGTTTAAATTGTCTCTTTCACAGGCGGCCACTTCTGGTGGGTGATAAATTAGCTTGGTAATTTATAAGCTTGGTCTTTTCCCTTATGCTATTGTTTTGTGAACATTTATTTTTTAAGCTTTCTAAAGAGGTTCCTTCAGAGCAACATATTCTCTTTTTCAAATGCTTCAGCCAGGAATTGTTTGGTTCAGTCGAGGAAAATTTGTGGCACTAATCCACAATCCCGTCTCTGCCGGGCTTTTTTATCCTTCCTGATAAACAGCACTTCTCTATATATATGTTTGTTTTGTTTACAACATCACTGTCATTTCCCCATGCTTTTATCCTTGATGGGCTATTTTCTGGTCCTTTCAGTTTCCATCATTTGGATTTTTTCTCATCTTAAGTAGTTCTTGGGGAAATGGACTGGATGAGTTTTCAAAAACAAACATTAGCCGCACATAAAGAATTAAACTAAGTAGAGAAAACGATCAATAAAAAAACCCATATGTGTAGTTCATAATACAAATCTATGTATGGGGTTGCCTTTGTTCATTAAGGTCTGCAAGCATTTGTTCTTGCACAGCCTTCCTAAGTCATTTTTCTCATACTTAAGTCTCCATTTTGCTGGAGTGCTTCAGTGTGCATCTCCCGAAATTGTCCCACAGCTTTCAGTCTGATGGACTGTTTGACTTTAGAACACTTTTCTTTCACAGAGGAGTACAAAGTGGTGTCTGCAAAACAAGCCAAAATAATTGCTCCTCCAACGCATGCTGGATGTGACTCTGTGTAAAACGAGCCATTGTTCATTGTTTTAATCGTTGCACTACCTTAAAGTTTAACATTTAAGAGTCTGAGAAGCAGCCCCACTTGGCTTTGTGCAGAAACCCACCTGAATGCTGGAAAACTGCGAACTATGATCTGACACGTGGATAAATCATTGGTTAACAGCACGGGGCTGCAGCTTCTCCTCATAATTCATATGGAAGCAATGATGACTTACTTGATATTTGTTTTAGTTGAATGTAATCTGTACATTAGAAGATATGTTACTTGTACAAGACCTCACATGTCAATGTATTTATAGTTAAAACAAAAGTAATGAGTACATTCTGTTGTTTATAGTTTAGGTAAACTTGTTTCTTTCTTTTTTCTCCAAGTTGAAGTAGACTTAATTTAGAAAATAATACTTTCTATTGTTATTGATACTGTGAGTCCTGATTAATTTCTTATACACAGACTTACTTTTTTATTAATTGTAAATTAAATAATGTTATCAGATTGCGCATTTACACAGAATTTTGATAGATTGGTTTTAAACTCAACAAAACATATTATTTTTGCTTTTCTCCTTTATTGTCCCTTTTTTCTTTTCATCTCTTCCACCATGTAATATGTCTTCCCACCTTCGTAATTCCGATGTTCCTGTTCCTTCTTTTGCCTCTGCAATTTGTCCTGTTGTGTTTCCCCTTCCATTTTTTTCTGCCACCTCTAATCTATGTCTTCTCAACTCTTTTCTGGCAACATTTCCCATTTTCCGTTTTATCATATCCTTTGTGTTTTCTCTCTCATCTCCCCTTGTACTTCTCCACTTGTCTGTCCCCATTGCGCAGGTTGGTGACTTTGGAGAACAGCCCAGCCATCACCCCAGAACTGCTCAGAATCTTCCAGAATATGTCTGCTTTGCTGGGTGAGCTAACATCTGATTACCTTATTTTTCAACTTTATCTGGCCATTTGTGTGCTGATGTGTTTGTCTATTTGCTGTTTTCCATACAAAAACCATTTGAGTGCTCCCATTAACACAGGAATTAAATCAGCAGTTCACTGTGTGATATAACACTAATATGAAAAAAATATTCAACTGTAAAACATTTCAGATCGTTTAAGTCGTTTAAGATCGTTTTAAGACGGGGACATGGAACTTTATTTAATAAACACTCAGGTGCAACGATTGTAATCAAAGCAGCACAATGTTTATTGTATGTTCAAGTATCACGTATGTTGAGGAAATTAAGTAAAATCCCTGATGACTAACTTCATTTTCAGTTTCATTACCTAAGGCTATTGTAACTTGGTAAAAATCCTAGTTGTGGCAGTTTGCAGTTGCCTCAAGCAATCCGAGCCTCTGCTCTACGTCTGTAGGCAGCTGTGAGGGCTTGCTGATTGAATTGAGCTAGCAGAGATGATTTATCACAAGCCCATGGCAGTGGCTCACCTCACATGCCGTTTTGTGTGTGTGGCGGTCATCGTGATGAGGAATGCAGCTGATTTAGTGTGACTGCACATAACAAATGAGTTAGATTAATATGACCACTCATGTGATCTGATTAGCTTACTCCAGCATTTGAGCACTTATTGTGTCGATTGGGAATCTGTTTGGTTCCTAAAAAGCAAAGGAGAAAGGAAGACGGTAATGGATTGGAGTGATGGTGGTGGGGGGAATTAAAAAGGATCAAGAGGAGGGAGAGCTTGATGAAACATAAAAAGGAGGCGGTGGATAAAGGGAATTATGTGATGGCTGGAAAATTCTTGAAGAAAAGGTGGCTTAAAATGAGAGGTTGTATATTAAGCTTGGACATGGATGGATGGAAAGAGGGAAAGAGGTAGAATGCGAACCTGGGAAGGTGACTGAAATACTGAAATAAAAAAACAAGATTATAACCGAGAAGCCTTTTACAAAAAAACATGTGAAAGCTTTTTATAGGATGCATCCCAAGCAAAGATCAGAATTGCTTTTAGTGAAGGTTCATCCATTTCTTTTAAATACAGAAGCCCTTCTAAAATAAATGTGATTAAAGTTGATTTATAACCCAGTCACTGCACTGGTTTATCTACAACCGTTTTAAAGAGCTTCAAACTAATCATCTGTCATATTACTTGTTTAAGAGTCTGTGATGAAGTAAAGAAAGATTAATGGAGAGTCAAATATAGGTTTACATAAAAGGAGAAAGAGACATGAAGATTGGATGGTGGAAACACAGAAATGTTTTGTTTATATAAGGCTAATAGTTTAGAGGCTAACTCTAGGCTGCATCCATGTCTACTTTGAAGGTTACACTGAGAGCATTTCCTTTTTTCAAGTCCTGTTTCTGATAGGGAGATTTGAAGAACGTTAACCAAATACTGATCAGGATGTTCTTCAAGAGCCCCATGACCTTACCTTGAGATATTTGACAGATTGTGTGGAGCTTTACAAGATTTTCCTATCATGAGTAAATCTTCTTTGCTTGAAGCCTTTGTAGGGAGAAAAAATAGCTTTGTCCTATTTGTCCTTTTCTAAAATGACCCACTAATGGGAAATAATTAGCTGTTAGCAGTAATTTTGCTATCTTATTTTTCTTGAACTTAACAAAATATTTATTTGATCCCAACAACGTGCTGTCCAGAACTGGGTTAAAGTTGACTTTTTTATGCCTTCAGCCTGTTAGAATTAAAGATCACAGACTGGCTGCATCAGTAAAAGACTCTGCCAAGCCACACATCCACTAAACGCTCACCTTTTTCCTTTCATTGAGTTCAGCATAGATTACTTGTATTACAAAGTCCTTTATCAAAACAATAGCAGCCACATGAAACAGAAGCTATTTTCCATTTTCACATATGCGTCCATTTCCCAGATTGTGGAGGAAAACTAAACCAAACCGGCAAGGGTAATGCTTTGAATTCATCTTATTTTCATAACAATATTTTGTGCTTACAGCGCAGACCTTTCTGTCGTTTCTATCAGTATTTGGCCCAGTGGAGGATGTCTGGCTTTGACAGACAGATTAAAGCAATAAGAAATCAGTCACTGTTTTTGTTGCACAAGGTATGAACAATCCATTTGATGAAAAAAAATAAAAAAACAGCCCCAGCTATGTTAACGCAGTGTGAGGATAGCGCTGCATCCATACCAACAAAAAGAAAAATATTTGCTTAGTTTAAAGTGTTTTTCTTGCAAGACATTTCAATGGTTAGGTTTGCTTGGATGGTATTAAATACTGTTTATCACCTCTAATACTTCCAGTGTATATGTTTTCCAGTATATATGTGCTTAATGTTTCTTTAATTTTTGATGTCCACATATTATTTACGTATTAGTCAGAATCATAGTCAGAGTCACCTCTACTGCTCTGTGTCAAAACAACATAATCGTCCCCACTGATCTGGCCCACCATGCCTCTGTTCCTCGTAAGTTTTCCTTAAACTCATCATTGCAGTTCTTAGAGACTCTAATCACCGGGTGGCATCACCTCATATTCCAAATACTATGAGCGTGTTGGTGGATCTGTCAAAGCTAAGCAAGCAGTTTTGAACCAAATCTCTGTGAAAATGCACTAGTGGGGATGTTCCGTTTCAAAGTAGGTTGTAAATACTCTTACTTAAAGGTGACCGTATTTTAAAATCGGTCTCTGAAAGACCAGGGAATTTCAAGATTATTTACAGCCTCAGTACAACACCAAACATGTATTTGTTGTAGATGCCAGGGCAATGTAATGGCGTTCTAAGCAAAAGTCCTTCTCCTCTGTGTGCATTGCCATAAAACCTCCTCTGATCTGTGTTGTGGAACTTTGGCTAGTCACATGTTCATGCTGTTGAAGGTGTGTGTGCATAAACCAGCATTTGTGACAATACGAGGGCCTCATCACTGTCTGTGATGGAGAAAATGTTGCCTCCAAAGTGACTTGATTTATTGGGACAGGGTCAGACATCATTCTGCACAATTTATAAGTAAATAAAGACTTAATTAAAAATGAATTGTGCTTGACAGACCGTACCGCTGTACAATTTTATCTGCAATTGAACTTCATGGCACATTATGAGAGATTTAGACAGCAACCATGGGCTGTGAGCAGTTCATGCTAAATATTCCTCTCACAAAACTGTTTGGAATACAAAGTCCATAGTTGATTACAAATTCCTGAAAGTCCTTACTCAGTACAATGTGGGAATAATTACGTCCATACATTATCTTGTCTTTTCCATTCAGTTTGGACATAGAACTCAGAGGGTCTCCATGGTGATGCGTTATAACAACCGGTAGCAGTCTAAACAGTCTCTTTGCAGGCATGGCAGCTATGTCCTGGAACCAGTACAATGCAATACGTATGTTTGGACTTGGATTTTGCAGTTTTGGTGTGGTAATGAGAATTTTCACGGCAGGATCCTTTTAGTAGTTGGTTTCGAGCTTGGCTGTTATGGAGTTTAATGCTGGTCGGATTTTTTTTTTGTGCTTTTCTATTGTAGTTTCAGCACAATGATTTAACACCATCTAATTTGGATGTGTGCATTAGTTTTTACTGGGAACAGGAATCAGTTTGCTATGAAATTAATGAGTGAAATAACCCAGTTGAATGCAATTAGCTCCGCTGATTGTCAGAACACAATATTTGTTCTGTATTGTGTTGCCTTACCCCGTATTTATATAGTTATTGTTTTTTTCATTCTTCTGAGGGAACCAGTTTGGTCCTCAATGTACATGAGTACATGGAGAACAGTTTATGATAAAAGACAACAGCTTAGAGATTATGTTACAGGTCAGCACACATTAGCCCACAGTTTTTAAAACGCATCTAGTGAGCAGTGTGAACATTAAAATGACTACAGAACCATTTTTGTGCAATACCTTTTTTTAATTCACACATTGATAAATGAAACAATAAAGATATAAAACGAATCCTCATTTTTAATCTGGTCGCCTTTGGCTGGCTTTCCCTTGCACCTCCTGTTGTTCATTTTGTCATTCCATGGAGAGCAGTGAAGGGATGTGGGCTATTGAGGGTTTGGCTCGGGAGGATGTCACAGCTTGCCAGGTATGTGGCCTGGTCGGTGTGATAACGAACCACATTCTATCACTGCTAAACTGGAGCAGCAGATTCCCAAATCAGAGTGTTAGGAGCCTTCTTACCGCAAAATGGTCACACTGTCATTTCCACCATGTTTTATTGTATAGGTGGTGCACTGACGTTGAATATAAAGCAAACAAGATTATACTGATTAGCGTGATGGAGCCAAAGTACCCATTTATTGCAATGCTGTCTCACGTGACACCCGTGTTTCAATGACAATACCGTCCCAACATAGGGAAGTCGTGTGGCTTTCCATTAACCTATTGCTCTGTTTTGATATATCTCACAGGTCCTAGAAGTCGACATTGATTTCTTCAAGTAGCTTGTAAAATCCAAACAACCATTCAGATACATAAATTGTTAATAGTACTCTCCTTGATGATGCCGACACCATTTAAGAGGCACAAGTTTGCCTTATGGATGACCAAACGGGGATTAGAATAGAAAAGTGTTTCCGGCATTGACTTGAGGTAAATCGGATGCAGCGTAAAACATTTCTTAGTGAGAATCCCATCAATTAGGAAGTATAGATACAGCCGTGAACTCGGCAAACCATCCCCACTGAGGGCACATGAAAGCTCTCTAAAGGAGCAGCCCCGCTAATGTGCCGTATGGATCAATCCAGACATTTCCCATAAGAGGGCAACTGTCATCATGCTTTGATGCTGAGAGGGGAGAAATAGTTACCATGGCTATGCTTATGTAGGATTGTATGTCTTTCACGTAAACTTTGCAGTAATCCAGATGGTTGTACTTTTTTGTAAAATTTAAGATTGATTTAACCATTCATCCTTTTCATCACCAAAGTGCTAAATTGAATCGATTTTTCTGGAATCAGAAGATATTTCCATGCCCCTGCCCATTTTATTTATTGATAAAGTTTATTCATCCATTTATTTTTAATGTAAAGAAAATCCTGGCAAAGTTGGCTACAACTACATCCATCCAGCTGTCTGTAGACTTAAGTTTATAATGTTTTTTTGAGGTTCAATGAGAGGTATTTTATGTTCATATTTCATTCAGTCTCCTCCTTTTTTTATTAATCAATTAACAGTTACATTTGTGCATTTTATAGCTGTTCAAGCTTAATTGTAGCAGCGTCACAGAACTTTAAAAAATGTCTGCATTTGGTTAATGATCCCAACAGACACAGTCTGTCCTTTGCAGCACAACTGTGTTGATTTTTGTACCACTCAAGGGTATCTGTTAACTTTCCTATCTCTGCCAGCAACATCAGGCATTAGGAGGGAAAATTGGGTGTGTAAAATGACCATATATTTTAGCAATGTTCCCAAAAACCCTTGGAGGTACTACAAGGGCTGTTATCATTCATATGTGAGGCTCATTTCCTCTTAATTTTGATAACCAGAGCACATTTTGCAGCATATGCCTTGGGCCATGATAATTTTCTCACTAAACTAAATCTGTGCCTTAGCAGATATTTTTATGACAAGTTGATTATGACTGTGTGCTTGTGTTTGGAGAGGGTGATTGTGTTCCCAGCTCTTTGGGAGAATTTAATTGCTTTTTTTGTTTTGTATTTTTGACAAAACAGCCTGTCATGAGTTAAACTCATTGTATGCCTTTTTCTAATATTTTGACCATAGGCAGCTTTTTGCCTGAATCAACAAACATGAAAATACATTTTAATTAGATGGATTTTTTGTCAAATGTAAGTAAAAGAGGAGGTATGCTATATAACAGTGATATTGGTCCTATCTCAAACAGAGTATTACTGTATTACAGGAGTGTACGCTAAGGACTGCATTCTTGTAAGAAGTCAGACAGGGGTTTTAGCCGCAGTGTATTTGCCTTTGTTATGTCACTGTCATGTTGATTGTTGTCAGAAAGTATTTGAGACTTATGTTGGAAAAGAAGTGAGTTCACTTTCAATAAACAGACATGTTATTTTGTCAGACTGCTTTGGGGGCATTTGGCACTTAAAAAAAAAAAAAAGGCCTCATCAAGGTCAGTTCTCGGAGTTGCATTACTTGCCTCAATAGCAAAACAACAATTCTTTTAGATATATTATATTGATGATATTTGCTATAGAGGCTCACCATTTTTCGGGAAATCATTTTTTATTAATCATATCTACAGTTTCTCAGATGTTACAATCTGCCCAGGAGTGGATGGTTATTGTACTGAGTAGGAGATGGATGCTCATAACCTGCAGTCTGACTGTTGCTGACAGATGAACAAACCCTCCAGTTCATGAAGGAGTAAGAACTACTGTGTCTACACAACTCTCATTAGCATTTGGCCTTCACGGAGTTATGTACCATGACAAAATTCTTTGACACTTAAAATTCTGCTCTCTAGGAAACGTGCAGGCTTTGCTGGCTGTGACAAACATATTTTTTTTGCATTTTTGTAAAGAGTTAAATGTTTTCTCTCTGACTGGGAAAAACACTCCTTAACGGTAGTTGCAGCAGCATTGCAGCTAACAGAAAAATTCTCTCAATTTTACACGTTCTCTGTCCCAGTTAATCATCCTAAGATTGCAATTGCATCTCAGATTTCTTTCTTATTCGTGCAACCCACCGATTCTCCTGCCTTCAGCCTCTTAACTAGGCCTCCAGTGTTCAGTCTTAAAGGCGCTCATGAACACCCTCCCTCCCATTTCTATGCCAGTCTGAGCCTTTGGGGACTTCTTTGCCGTATCAGTAGCTCAAAGCAATATCGGAGAAGGCGATCGGCTGTCGGTGGAACGTTGCTGTGGGAGCAGTTCAGAAATGTGCGACCAGCTTGGGGACTGATGGAGGTTGAAATCAGTCTGTTGTTTGTTGTTTTGGAGTCTGAATTGACCTCATTTATTTAGAATAGTTCAAAGCAATTTAAAAAAAAAATCAAAATGCATACTGTTTTTTTTAGATGCCTGCTTTGTTTGAAAGCAAATCTGCTGCTTTATTGCACTTGGTCTTAAATTCACATATTAAAATTTTAGTGAAGAAATGTAAAGATTGAATTTTGTAGACTTTTTAATAATGGCTGCATCTTAAAGAGCTATGCTCATGCACATTCTAATCTCATAATTCCAGGGAATGAACACAGCAATTAAGACTCGAGAGAGAAATTTAGGTCTTAATATATTGCCCATATTTGGATGTTGAATTAATATTGATAGTAAAAGCTTTGCTTTACATTTGCTGTCGACTTTATCGTTGATTTATAGTAGAATTGCAATTCAGCGTGGATATAAATGCTTCCATTATGGTAGAGAAATATCCTAATAGTTTAAGTGTTCTTTCCACAGGAAACAATGCTCGATAGTGAAGCTTTAATCTTTTCTTTATTACCTTTTGCTCTATTTTTTTTATTCTAGACTGTACAGTAGTGACTTTAGTGCCTCTCAGCGTTTGGACTGTCACCTGATCATTTTGTCCTGTATTTTGCAAACTTGCTAATGTGAATTCAGTGCCATCATTTTGTCCTAATGTACTTTTAGCTTTTTTTGGCTCCAGAGTGTGTTGGTGGACTGAGAATTCATATAAACGGACTTGCTGTGTAAATAGGGCTTGGAATACATTACTTGCTTGACAAAAAAACAGATGGCTGCATGCATTATCCCCATTACCTTATTATGGCCAACAGATGGCTGAGAATACACATGGCATAGATCAACATTAAAATCACCTGTGTGAAATGGCCTGGTCGGACAGCGCTTCTTTCACCACAGTCCCTAGATTCTTCCAGACAAATCTTGCCGAAGAAGTATGGTGTTTACCCAGGTTTAGATGTGTTCCTGTACAATTATTCAAAATGGCTCAAACTTTAAGATAAGTGCACATGATATGGTTGCTATGGACTTATTACAACAATTTTCAGAGTTTGCAACAGAGGACCTGAATATTGGAGTGAAAGGATTAATTCAAGTAATATTCAATGAATATTCAATGAAGGAATTGGATCTGGTTGGTCACTGATAGCCTCTGTTTTTACATAGGCATTTTTATTTGAATTATTTATTACAGTCTCATCTTCATCACCACCCAAATTGATATTCAGTATTTACCCAGAATCTATGTTATTGTTTGCTGATGGATACAGGTGTTTGTGAGTGTCTGTTAGTCTGTACATATGTTGGTGTTAGTGTGGACATGTATTTGTCTTTTCCTGGAGGCCTCTTCTTATTCCGCTTATTGTCTGTCATCTGTCCTGTATGTTCAAAACCAGGTGGTCGTTGACTCCTTTTTTATTATATTGCTTTATGCTCTCCAGCTCCTGCTCATGGCAGTGATTATCTCCCACCCTTCCTCTTCATCCTCTCTATAAATTAAATACTGTTTTTGTAGCTCTGCCAGGCAAATAGATACAATTAATAAAAAAAAACTGGCTTGGTTTGCACAGCTGCCTCTCCTCCTGTCCAATAACTTTTTACATGTACCCTCTAAATGCATTTAAGACTATCTGCACCACATATTACATCAGTATTTTTAAGTAGCAAATTGCACTCTGAATATCCACTCTGACTTATTACACAACAGATGTTTCAAGAGGCCATTAACATTTGTTGTAGAGCTATGGTACCACAATGGTATAGAACAGTTTTCCTCCTGAAGCATTACTATGTTTTCCCAACCTATTCAGAGTGAATAGGTGTTTTTTTAGACAAGTTTTTGTTGATTTTTTTTAATAGCATATGCCCTCTTAGTAGACAATAATATATTTTGCCTACTTTTGATGGGCTACAAAACACTCTGGTGTCCTCTTGACTTTTGTGTCCACTGTTATTCTGTGTTTCCACTTTAAATGTAGCTCATTAACCGCATCCTTTGACTCTGTGCTTATCTGAGTCTGTATTGTGTCAGAAAAAGCCAAATTATATCACAGATATTGTCTGTATGGAAAATACACACGTATATAGGCCTTTCTCTCTTACTTTGGAATGGTTTGAGGAAAATCAGATACAGCATAACAGAAAATGACAGGATATTAATGTTGGATATTGATGAAATCCTATTCAGGTTTCCTTGAATATAATTGCAGTGCTCTTATTAATTATAAATGTATGTATTGAAAATCTTTCTTTTGTTTCAGAGTTGAGCTCGGAGAATCTTCGTACGTGCTTTCAGATTGTCAATGCCTACATTTATTTATCTGCCACGGAATTCCTGCAGGTGAGAAGCATACACTCACACAATTAATGGAAATACAAGCTTCGCTGAATACACCCATTTGATTTGACTTCATTTATTTATTTACTCTTGCCAGAACTATGGAGAATCATTATGTAGATCGTTTTGTGATCTACTGAAGGACATCACAAATGACGGACAGGTTCAAGTGCTTAAGGTACTGTGGCTTCATACATCCAGACATCATGGATTTGACTGCCAAGTCAGATTATCGATATTTCTGCCATTCAGTTAAATTCAGTATCACATAATTGCTTTTTCAGGAGTCAGTTCTCTTTTCATTCTTTACCTTTAAGCTAAAGTTAAGATTTTTTTCTCCTGATTTTATTATTAATAACATTTAATTCAGTTCAAATAATTGTATCATGTTCATGCTAGATCCCCTCAAATATTATATTTGGAATATTCCTCTGTCTTTCTATACTTGTCAAAAATGTGTCTGTTTATTTGTGACATTAACATTTATGATCTGAAATAAACTAACAACAAATGTTTTGCAGAAATCATTTACGTCTTAAGTTCAGGGAAGTTTATTTAATGCTCAACTTTTTTCTTTCTTTTTATTGAGTGTGACGCTGTTCTCTGTGAAATACAGGTCAGACGCACAAATAAATATTATATTACAAATTATATCCATACAAAAGCAGAAACATGTGGCCTGTGTTTTCATTTTCTGTTGCATTAAAAAAAATAGCTGCTCTTTCTGGAGGGACTAGATTATGTTCAAAAGAGAATTGTTTATAAAATACCCAGGTCATAAACATGTGCAACTGTTATTGAAGGTTTCTACTGACTGAGTTTATTCCTTTAGGGAGTGCACGAGTGAGTGTACACACGCGGCGTCTTTGCAAAGTTTGTGATATTTGCACAGCTGAAGCAGGGCACAGTCAGGAAAGCCTTAAGATCTAAAAGCTAGGCCTTGAAGCATTACTGCACATCTGGCTAGTTATTTTGTCTGGGGGAACAAAAAGCCATCAGACACTTAATGAGCACGTCCATCTGACAGTGGGCATCCTGACAACGGTGGGATCCGTGTAATCGGCACACTCTTCTCTGATGAGTTGACGTACACTAATCTGATTGTTTGACCTGGGGTGGCGTAGGCTTTAAAATCATTCTCTCAAACTCCCCCCCTCTCAGCACAGAGGTTGTTTCTCCATTCGTTCCACTTAATTTGCTGGTAAATTGAATGCTTGTAGCATCTGTGTAACTTTAGTTTCTTCTGTTATGTGTTGAGTAACATGGTCTTGAGCCGGATTTGTAATAATTAGCTGTGTGCATTATTGAGTTAGCCATTCTTGGTTAGCGATGCTCTGCCATCCCTTTGATGTGGTCATGGGCTATGTTGATATGTGTAAAAATAAAGTCAAAGGAGGACAACTGAATCACCTGTAATTACATTGCATGTTTAAACGGATGATATAAAACACCGTAACCTGCCTGTCTTATGTTTAGCATCAGACTTTGAAGACATTTACGTTCTTACATCCAGGCACATTTAACTTTCTTTACACCATCGTCTCACTGACCTTTTTTGCTCTTTCTGATTTCCTGCACAGTTCTTCCTGTGTCTCCCCTTTGCCACTCTTCCTGAGTGTCCCTTATCCTTCCTCTCCTTGTGTCTCTGCAGGTGGTAGAAATAGCTTTAAAGGTTAGCCCCATACTGGGAGCCCACATGTTTCAGCCCCTGCTGCCAGCTGTCTTCCGAGGTATATTGGACGGTGAGGTAAGTCTTACCTTTTCATCTTTCACGGATATGGACTGTTTATATATACAGACACACTGAGCAAGATATCTCATGATCTATAACACATTTTAACTGATTTAAACTGAAGGTATATCTCAGAATTGTGCACAATAATGTCCCCCATTCTGGGATCATATATTCCTGTCCCACTTGGTCCTGTTCTGACTGATAAAACGAGTGATATTATGTGTCAGTTATTAATCGTAGGTAATCAATATCAGTGGGTTAACCTTTTTTATCAGGCTTAATAAACTACTTTACATTGATTATTTTATATAAACAAGTAAAACGTAATGAAGACTTCCTAACTCTGTACATGTGACCTCATGTGTTTGATCCACAGCGTTATCCGGTGGTGATGTCCACATACCTCGGCATCATGGGCCGTGTTCTGCTCCAGAACGCCAGCTTCTTCTCCTCTTTACTCACACAAATGGCTTCTGAATGCAACCAGGAGGTAGCGCACGATATATGCCTTTCATTTCCCTCATCTTCACTTCAGTCCCTCTGAATTTGTCTGGCAGATTTGCAAAGTGGCTGTTTAAAACTAATCATTCTGAATTGATCTGAAATATCTGAAACGAGGAATGAATTGCAAATGCAAACATTTTCATTTCTTTCAAATCAGAATGACCTGGGCTGATGTTGATGCTTTCACTCAAATGTTTTCCACATTGTTTTCCAAAATGCCCAGATCCTATAATTGGATAGTAGAAATGAAGGTAGGGGAATAGTGAAATAGAGAGGACTGAATACCATTTCTTGCAGACATTTCCAACATATTTTACAATATTCATAGAAGATATTCATATTTTATGCTGTGAGCTGGGTTAGTGAAGGTAACATTTATTTCTGTTTGTGGTTTTTTGAAGGCTGTATTCCTATATCTCTGTCAATAATGTTTCTCTATTTTCTTTTTGCTCTTTCCTCCTGTCTCACTCTCGTTAATCCTAATAAACTCCCTTAATATTAGATGGACCAGTTGTTTGGCAGTGTGATAGAGATGTGGGTAGACCGCATGGACAACATTACTCAGCCTGAGAGGAGGAAGCTGTCATCTCTTGCTTTGCTTTCTCTGCTACCCTCTGACAACAGGTGAGTGACATATTTCTCATTTATGTGCAAACAAGGCTTTTCATGTGGTCAGAAGAGAGCAGAACGGCATTGCCTGTGATGTACTGGTTAACCAAATCCACAGTGGGGTTAAAAAATGGCGTGTTTGCCCTTACAGTCATGATTTGCAGCATAAGAACATCAGCCTAACCAGAATCAGGGCCAACATGAATACATGTATACAGGGTTTACACTTTATTTGGTGATTATGGAAGCGGGTGTGTAGTCACAACAACATAGTTTACATTTTGTCCAACTCACCACCATTTAAACTGCCACAGCTTTTGGAAGTAGGGTAACAATTAAAAATGTGAGCGAGGCAAAAAAGTCTCAAGTGTCATGGATTATTGTGCTTCTTGTCAACACCATCTGGGCAGGGCCGCTCACCCGCCACTGAAGAGCAAACATGTAAATGCTCACACACACGCACAAGTCAAGCCTTCTTACATAAAAAATCTGGATGATGTAGATGTTTTTTAAACTGTCGTCTGTATTGCTATAAAATCTTAAACATAACTCAATATTAAAAGACTGACAAATACACACAGTACAGCTATCAGCAACCTTTTCTTGTGTGCATGCATAGCTTTGGCTCTGTGTCAGTGCATTGGGGCGGGTGAAGAGAGAGGTCGAGAGTTGAGATCTCATTTGTAAAGGCAACCAATTAATTGTTGACTGCTGACTGAAGACATTAGCCTGCTTTTGTTTCTAAATTAGCTGAATTTAGAATAGCAAAACCACTCCTGACTTTGTATAGTAAGAGGAGCTTTTTGTACAAGTAAATCTGGTAAAAACCAAAGCTGTGCTAAACGCTAAGTCTTTTGCTCGCATCAAGAAATAACATAATTTCCCTTTCGTAATTATGTGAAATGTACAATGATTGTTAATCTTATCTAGATTTAGGGAAGCTCATCATGACACAGACAGCCATGAAATCCTTTCAAGCCCCCATTTTTAGTCTGCAATAACCCTTGGTAATGGCAGCTTGGATTAGTAAAATCAGCTATCTCTCACGCAGAGACAGAAGTTAAGATTTCCATATCCTCTTTACATATGTGGGTATGTGTGTAATGTGTGATTTTGAAATAATAATAATGATAATATTAATATGTAAAATTAGCTTTTGGGCTTAAAAGTTGCACTTTGTGTTTTGTTGATTTCTTACTGGGAGAATGAACATGAACATGAACATGAGAATATTATTTATACATCTGCTGAAACAGCTTAGAGTGCATTTAGAGTTGTACAGCTCAGCTCACCTGGTGTAATCTTAGACATATATTTATTACAAGAGTTTTAATGCCCACATGCTTGTGACAAATCCCCTCCATACCATTTCCTTCCCCAGTTTTGTCTTTAAGAAATCAGTTCAGTGGTTTTCTACTCTGCTTTTTATTTCCTGAATTTAATTTTTTTATTGGTAAGCCTTTTTGTAAAAACACTGAGTTCAAGCAGACTTGATTTTTAGAAGGGAGAAAATGTTAGTCTTCATTTACATAAACAGTCAGCCAGGAGGTCATTTTCATAAAATCTTTTTTAGCAGACCCGTGTGTTCAGCCATTTCACTTGCATTTCATTAGTGCTTTCAATGGCAAAGCCTCCATTAAGAGATTCCAATACTCAACACCATGACTAATTAATCAGTATGCACTCCTTATCGAGGTAAGGAGTGCATTTTCAGAAACAAACATGCTGTGTGCATTTTTAAACCATAAAATCATAAAGAAATTTTTATATCTGTTCATTTCTCTTTAATTTTCTTTATTTCCATTTTATTCATGTTTTTGGGGGTTTTTTTGTTTTAAGAATCTCTTTTGAAATCCAAATATGATTCCAGGATCTTTGATATTTGCATTTAGGGGCAATTTTCAACATTGACTCACATCTTTGCATGTTTTGTTGCAATTACCTTCCATCTTTCAGATTTCACACAGCACATTTTCCATTAGATGTCTTCTCCCTGCTTCAGTCCTACATCTCGTGACGTCATATAATATTTGGAACAAAGAAATTTCGACCCAATATTATCATGGACAGAAAGTAGTCCCCAGCTGCTCTTCCGAACAGGAAGAAGAGAGGAATGAGCGACTCAGATTCAGGGCTTTGTTTTTACAGCAGCATTCCAGTTATAGCTATTGGAATGATGGGCACGGACCAACAGAACTCATCAACTTTTAGGAAGCAATCTCCTGAGAGATTTGAGCCGCACATAATTGAAATTGATAGGCATTTCTTAAATGCATCATAACTTTAATAGAATGTGTGCATCTTTTTTTTTCTCAGTTCGGTTTTGAGGAAAACAGAAAAACAGTGCAGAGGTGCAAAGAAATTTTATAGGTGTGCAGCAGCCGCTCATTTGATTTTTGTTCATTTCAAACAATTGATGTTTGAATTTTTTAAGTGTTTTCTGAAATCAGCCAATAATGGAAATTGTATTGAATTGTCAAAGTTCCCATACAGGCGCCTCAGATGATTGATTTCACCCTGCAAATTGAACCAGTCTTTCAAGTTGCCAATGTCTCTTCGCTTTCTTTCAGTAATCATGATTAGCTGCGGCTGGTTGCTTCTCCAAGCCAACATAAAAAGCACTCCGAATGAGTGACAGCAAATGCCATCTGAAAAGCCAACCTGCACAGTGTAAAATAGGGGCTCATCTGAGGTTTGAAGCCCCATCTCCAAATCTGACAGGTTTTATTTATATTTGAAGCTATTCAGATGGACAGAAATAGGCCCTCGGGTCATATTATGTTTGGGAGTATGTTACAGAGAGTGATTAGCAAGATTTAGTCAGAATGATTGGAAGTAACAAACCAAAAGAGCTTTGTATTGTTTATGGTGGTGGCACTTTTATCACAGCTGAGACACAGCAGGGTTCTGCTCTCACCCCTTTTATTTGACGCCTGTTTTGGTGTATAGATGCCCACAGAACAAGTCTCGGATGTTCTTGTTTTTATGTTTTATTTATTCCTTTTTTCCCCCCTTAACTTTGTATATCAGTGATGTGCACTGAAAGATCCACTCATGAAAAAGAAGACAGGAGCATGTTTGCTGGCAGGGTGTTCACCCTTTGTGCTGATTGTCCATGTTTTGCCAGACTTTATGCTCATTGAACTTTATGCAGCTTTGCCTGAGGTCTACCAAGCCCAAAGTCTGTGAACTGACAGAAGCTTTGAGGCCCATACCAACACGTATACTTTACTTCATCGTTCTTTTATCCTTTTTCTCTCAGTTTTATTTCATTTTTACTTTTGGAACCCACTTCCTCTACGCTGTTTTCAAAATATGACCCAAATAATTCATCAATGACTGCGGCTTGTCTCCAAGCTTGGCTGGTGGTGGGTGTTATAATTCAGCACGTTTGAAAGATTCCTGGTTCTGCCTGCCAGCATGTGTGGCTCTGCATTGCTTCTCTTTCTATGGCGGCTTTTTTCTCATTTATCGGTTAAGCATGTTAAAATAAGAAGCCTCATCAGTTGTCATGTGTCAAATAATGTCCATTTATGAAAAAAGGAAAAAATTTGAAACACATTTCTGTCAAATATTCATTTTAGTTTTCAGTATTCCACTGCTCACATAATTATTTGAACTTTTTCAGTTATATTTCTACCTCGCTACCAAATATAGATACAAGGGGAATGTTGATTGGCTTTGATTTGTCTTCTTTTTTGTATCAAAGACTGAAAGTCAGTTATTACTTTGTTTTTGTTTGGACTTTTTTTTGTTAATTTAAAAGTTCTTGCAGTCTGCACAGAATTACTGCTTTTCTAAATTTTTCGTGGATTTTTTTGGACAAATACCCAACCCCTTCTATTAAGATACATTTGCATAGATACACACAGTCAGGAAAAAACAAAAGCATGAACAGTCACATATCTGTTGGAGTAATGACTCCCAAAGAACCAAGGTGTGTAATCTGTGTTCTCAGTGTGATCCAGGACAAGTTCTGCGGCATCATCAACATCTGTGTTGAAGCGCTTCATGATGTGATGACAGAAGATCCTGAAACGGGCACCTTCAAAGAGTAGGTTCTCCTGTTTTTTTTAACCTCCTCGTCTTGATAAGCATTTGTGAAAGGGTGTCATTTTTACTTTCTATCTCGTCACATTTTCTTTAACCAAAAAAGATAAGTCTTTCAGTTGACACATTTTTCTCTGCTGTCACATTGAATGTGTTGAGAGGTCATTTAGTTTGATTGTTCGAATAATTATTCTTCCCAGTAGACAAAAGGATTTCTGAACAGTCAATAAATGCGTTCAGCTGAGGCAAACAGCAGGCATTGTTGTAGTTTCTAGTCCTTTATTTAGGAATTGGGCATACTTTCAAATGTAAATAGTTTCCCTGTCTTGTATTGTTAGCAGGAGTGCTTTGGAACTGTTCCTTTGAGACGTCGCCGTTTAAAAAATTCTGTACTGTAGAAATGCAATCAATTGTCATGTGACAGCAACAAGGTCAAGATTTAACGTGTTTTGAACTTCATTGAACTGTTTTGGGCCGAGACGTCACATTTAATTGCTAAAAATAAATAAAAGCAGCGCTTTGGATGATTAAAAAAGAGTAAATATGAGCTTTTACCACTGAGTATAAGATAAGCTGTTCTTGCTAGTGATGTTTGTGTATTTGCCCTTGCTGCTGCTGCTACCAAAAATCAGTTTAAGAAGAGTAGGGAGACTCAATCTAAGACTATAAAGTTTCTGTCATTAAATTTGTTCAGAGAGTCTAAACTGTGAAAGGGATTTAAAGATTCAGGGTACATTAGGGATCTACATAGATATTCCATATATGTTCCCAAAAAAATGAGCGATAAGTGATTTGAATAGGCTGACTGATTTATTTGGCCCCTTTGAATGTTATATTTTAATGTTTAATAAAAGAATCTGATCACGAGCATCACTTGCTACATTCCAAAGTCACAAAATGTGACATTCAACTCCCCCCTACTTTATCTATGCTCAGCATAAGGATGGAACACAGAGATGATAAAAGACCATACATAGACTTTGTACTGAGTACAGAAATTTAACATGCAAGTGTGCTTGTGCATGCAGATGAACCAATATGAATAGGAGGCATAGCTGTGTGAAAAAAGAGCCAGAGGGTTCAGGGTTTTTTTTTTGTGCCTGTGTTTGCACATGCAGCTTGTTCTGAGATTTCCTCCTACTGTGCAAGTCTAGGGGTGGTTATTAATATTGAGTTGAATTTGTTGTGTTTGCAGCTGCATGCTGATGAGTCATTTTGAAGAGCCAAAGCTAAGCGACGACGAGGAGCCACCAACTGAGCAGGATAAGAGGAAGAAACTTGTGAGTCAAACATACCAATTGCAAGTGTGGCAAATACCAAAATTTACAATCAATAAAGCCTTATTTGTTTTTTCTATTTTCATTTCAAGATTTCAGAGACATGTTGTTTTCTATTAATTTCACTTGTACTAAATGTTTATTCAAGTGTCCTATAAACTCGCACAAGGACAGTCCTCTCCCTTCAAGATATGACTTACTCTACACTGGCACTTATAGAGGATTTAAACACTCAGACTCTATTGTGTCTATCTCAAGAGCTAAAAGAGAAATATAGTCACTTTGTTCATGTAACAATTTGTCAGGCATCAGATTGTAGCCACTTCACAGCTTCAGAAGCTCTTTTGTGCATTTTATAGTCACTTCTAACAGCAGGCTGGATGTGAATATGTGATACGGAAGTAAGCAACTCTTTACATAAGCTTGAATATTTAGTACCCATATGTGGCCCCTAGGTGGGAGATGTACACCATTTAAATAGTTTTTTGATACATATATGAGTATGCCTCTGTGTGAGGGTGCAAAGTTCTGCTACTCTGTGGAAATTTAAAAATGGTAACACTCCCTCCATATTCTGAGCATCTGTTTTAATTGTGTTGTTTGTTTCTGGGCCTCAGCTCTGGAATATGAGAACTTATATACAGGGTTTGTTTATTGGTGTTTGAATGTAGAAATACAGATGTATTTGTTTTCTTGTGATTCTTCTCTGTGTTGGCATGTGTGTGTGTGCTGGATAGTATCCCAATGCACTTATCACCTCAGCCCAGACTCTGACTTTTCTCTCCAGGGAATACAAAAACATGGAGACTTTAAAGTGTCACCTCTCTCCGTGTCCAAATGCATGTGAGTGTGTTGGAGACACACATAAATGCGTGTGCAAGCAATGGCTTTGTTCATGTGGCACAGTTTGTGGGAAAGTCATTAAGAAGGGAGACCTTCGACATTTTAGAGTTTGGCTTCAGTGCCTTTGGAAGGGACCTGCAAATCTGAGGAAGAAAGCATTTGTGCTTGAGCACATTGCCTTTTTTTATGCTGGTTTGAAAGCACCCTGACAGATATGAAGTATTGGTTTGTGTTGAGCCTTTCTCTGGCATTAGACAGTTTTTTTACTTTAAAATGTGATCAGACCCGTAATGAGTGGTGCAGTTGTGTGATGAATGAATCATTACTGTTACAAACACATTATTTATACCAATTATGCTGCAGTCAGTTGTATGAAATTCTTCTTCACCTAGCTTTTTCTGACCCTAACATGTGTGTCTGCTATATGTACAGTAAATTGTGAGGTGCATACTCTGTCAGATATAGACAGAAACCTTGTAAATTGGCACATGGAGCATGAATTGTGACCACTCCTTTGATGAAGAAGCTTCTGTTATTGAAGTGATGAGGCAGTACAAATGTGTTTTTTTTTTTTTATTTGTACCTACTCAGCTGTACTTGGCTATACCCACCTCACCATGGCTGAGTTTAGGTGGTTTTCCACTACAAATGAGGTCCTAAGATAAAGATGGGCCAACCAGCCAGCAACATTATTTGTATGAGACACATGACAACAATGAACGAAATTACAGCGGCGATACACCGACTAAACCTCGTTAATAGGCATTTACTCCCTTGATGATCATAGAAAATCTGTGAAAAAAATAAGTTGGACATTTGTTGTTTCTGTATTTTTTGGATGATGTTTTCGTGAAGCAGTCATTTATGAGAAATCTCATGCCAATCAGCGTTCGTCAGTCTGCCATCATCCCAACTCAGACTGTTTGGAACCATGGACCAGTAGGTGCTAGATTTATCAAGCACTGATGGAAATATTTTTAAAAAATCATCATTGTCGAGCAGGGCTGAGTAGGTATTGGTGTCTGAATGACGTGATGCAGCCACTTTGATACTCTGATGAACATGTTAATCTGTCTATTTTGTATCTGGGTTTGATACTGTGCAATTGTTTTTTGGTCTTCCTGCAAGCATTGATTCGTTGAAAGACTCCTTACCCTCTTTTTTTTTAAGTGTATGCCATGATTTGAAGAGCTGATTACCACTGAGTGTGTAAATAGACAGAGGAATGATGGTATTCCATTATTTCCTTTGAGACTTTCACTTGACAATTAAAGCTTACACATGAAAGACAAATTATCCCTCTTTGAACTCTAAACAGTTTAAACAGTATTCCTTCATTGTTATTAATGATCATAATCAAAATGAACTCAGTAATGAGTCATTAGATTACATTAGCACAATTGTTAGCAACGCTGCAGCGGAGTAGCAAATCCAAAGATGTTAAAGACTATCTTCCACGTTTTCTGGAGGAACTTAGACAGGGGCAATGGAATAAGCTGGTCAGCCTTTCACCTGCTGTCTCATTTTGTTCCATCCATACATCCTTTGATTTAGGAGAGATAACTGGCATGGCATTGTCTCCCCATCAGAGGCAATGACTTCCTAGAGCTACTGAGATCTTTTCTGTATACGACATATTCAGTCATAAGAGTGTTTGTGTCAGTCACACAGAAAAAACGCCATTTCTTCTTTATGGTGAATTTTATCTGTGTGATTGTGTTTGTGGATGGGGATAGGTGTTGTTGTTATGTGAATGTCAGTTCAAGTTCAGCTTTTTTCTTTTTTTTTCCAGGTTAGAAAATGGAATCTTAGACATCCTGGGTATCAATGTGTGTCTTTATACCGCTATCCATTCGTAGCTGAGTGAAAGTAAAGGATGCATTGATTCATAGGTTTACTGTTTAAGTATTGAATGCCGTTATGTCCTCCCACATAAAAATAAATCCCTGGATGCATTCAATAATGCACACATACCAAATTAGGATTTGTAGAGTTCATACAACATATACCTATTTAGTTCAAGGATGGAAATATTCCAATGCACATTCCTTACAGAGATTACATTCACCCTGTGTGTGCCTCTTCAGATTTATTGTCACTGTGGAAGGAGAGGATGCCTCACCACTACAGCCGTCCTCTAGTTTGAACCTAATTTATACTTGCTGTGTTTTCCTGCGCGTGAAGGACGAGTTTGTTTTTGTGTCATGGAAGTTGTTAACTGTCCTACTCTATCTTGTATTGGATTTGTAAGGGCCCCTCGCTTTGATCCGAGTATTTCAGACAACTAGACACTGCTAACTGATGCTGTGTTTGGGTCTCTGTACATAATGCATCATTTGATTCTTGTGCTTCATCTACAAGGCCAGCACCATCAAACAAGAAGAGGGACAGGCAACATCAAAGACTTTTTCCACTGGGTACTAATGATATGGGCTCTGTTTGTTGTACTGTGCCGTGGTGGCTCATACCCACTTGAGCCCATTCTTTTTTACTACACACTAACGGGCGCGCACAGCAAACGTACACAGCAGACATAGAGGTTATTATGCTGCATTTCTGAAAGTAGTTGCTGCCAACTGGTTACACACCGACAGACAAACAGCATGAAGGTTCTATAGAACACAACAGTGATAAAATAAATCAGTGTGTTGTGAGGGGGTTGGTAGCCAATGCTGATCACTGAATGATGATGGAGGCAGGAGATTTACGTCGTCATGTATGGAATGATATCCAAATGTATACGCGAGGCAGCGGGTTTCAAGTAACTTAAAGTGATTGATTAAAAACATCCATTAAAGCCTCATATCAAGTAATATCCACCACAGCCCTGCTGGGAGTTTTAAACTAGTTTTCTGTAGTTAAAAATTTGGAAGTTGAAACTTTTCTTACCACTTCTGATGTTGGATATTGTAATTAGAATAAGAACAATCAACATTCTATCGGTATATACTATAATTGGCTAGTTTCACAATGTAGTATATATATATATACTATAATTCTTTATAGATATATCAATAGATAACAAACTAGATTTTAAAAAACGTGAATAACATACCTGTGCGACCTTTCTGAGCAGCACGTGTTTGTAAAGCACAAGCCTCAGATTGTTCCACAAATTTCTATTTGTCCACGAGTGGCAGCAAATTGCCCAAAGCCATTTGGACAGGCTGCCACAAACAGTCATTTGTGGCAAATTCTTCAGGATGCGTGACTGATGAGTTCCAGGTTGTTAGGCTAATGAGTTTGTTTTCAGCTGTGTCTGCACTGAATACGAGTAATGGTGGGTATTTATGACTGCATAATGAACATTGCTTTAACATTAGAGAACGGTTAAAGATGAGACAGGCAATGTGCCTCTTTTGACAAATACACTTGATAAATATATCAATATTCACTGAGCTTAAACAAATATCCACAGGTTTGTCCACACACCACTTAAAGGTTAAAATGTTCACGCTAGTTTCTGATTTAACATTCGGATTCATCATAGAGCAAAACGACCATACCAACCACAATAATTCCTTAAAAGAGCTGGATTATGTCTTGTCATTGGCATAGAATAGTGTCATTAATAGAAAACTGCCCTATTAAGCAGCATCATTCTGCAGCAAAACCTATGAATATTCGCTCTGCCACTGAATGTATGCATGCATGTGTTCTGTTAGACTGTTTTAGATAATTGTACCAGATGGAACTGATGAAATATCGGCTATATATCTGCAATAGTTTGCCATACGCCATACTCCACTCTGTGTTCTGTGACGTTGTGAAAGTTCTGCTGTGTTGCTTTGAAAGATAAATGCAAATGAGGAGTTGGGGGGAAAAAGTTAAAAAGGATGTTGCTTAAATAACAGTTACCAGAATGTATGATTTATGGAATGAAAATACATTAACAATAGAGTCAGACATTTTCTGGATTTGTGGGGACTACATTTGCTGCTGGCAGTGATGAGAATGTCTTGAGGAAGGCAGAGGAGGCGTCTCAACTGAACACTCCCTAAATTACCTCAAGCACCCTTTCATCATTACGCTTTCTTCGACAAAAATGTAGAGTAAAAAGACTTTCATAATTGTGCACGAAACAGTATACATGCCTCCACAAATATATCTGTAGTAGATCATTAGCAGCTTATAATATTATGTGGACTCCAAATAGC